AGTTGCAGCACCCGGCATGACTCCCATATAACTAGTCGTGGAATACGAAGGTTATTTAAGAGAGGAAGAGATCTGACAATGCCACACCAGCGTTTCTTAATTTTGGAAGACAGTGGTTTATCCAATGAAAGTTTGTCTAACCAAAGCCTTTGTATCAACATTTTCATGGTGATTACATACGGGGCTAAAAGACCCAGCGGGTCAAAGATTTGTGCAATCACTGAAAGCAAATCACGCTTAGTATTGCCATCGGGAACTAGTGAATTCAATGGAAAGCAGAGTTCATCTGAATTCGAATGCCAGCCAAGACCTAACAACTTGTCTGGCTCGCGAGAACCAATATTTAGGTCAAGTGATGTATTGGCAATTTCTGACAGTAACTCGGGATCGTTCGATCTCCACTTTCGCAATGGCATACGAGCAGATGCCAATACTTCGGCAACCCCTTGACGTATGGCCTTTACGTCATCTAAGTCATCAGCACCCGTAAGCAGATCATCGACATAAAAATCATGCATTATGATGTCCGCTATGGCTTTATTTTTGCACTGTAGACCAAGTTGTTTCAGGCAGCGTGTTGCGAGAAATGGCGCACTTGCCGTACCGTACGTGACAGTATTTAATTGAAAGGTCTGTATAGGCTCACTAGGACTGTTACGCCAGACTATCTGCTGAAGGTGCCTGTCATCAGGATGAACGACTATGCACCTGTACATTTTCTCCACATCTGCAGACAAAACGTATTTATGTTGCCTAAAACGTAACAAAATCGACGTCAAGTCGTCCTGAACTACAGGACCGACCATTTGTATTTCGTTAAACGAAATGCCTGACGACGTCGGGCAACTTGCATTAAAAACTACTCGAAGTTTAGTCGTAGTGCTACTTTCACGGAGTACGCCATGATGAGGTATAAAATACGCGCCATTACTTAAATTAGGTCTTTCACAAATTGTCATGTGTCCCAGTGACTGATATTCAGACATAAATCATAATACATCTGCTTGATGTCAGGCTTACATTTTAATCTACGCTCTAAGGAGAACAAGCAACGTGTAGCTCTTTTAAATGAATATCCTAATAGACCGGTATCCTTTTTGAGAGGTAACCAAACGCAAAAAAGCCCATCATCAAGATGTGACGTATTTCTTACAAAATGATCCTCACACAACTTCTCCTCAGGTGAATAATGAGATGACTTGGAACTTATTTCCTCCAGCTGCCAAAACCGCGTTAAGTCAATTCGAATATAATCTTTATTATCGCCACAAAAATAAAAATCAGTCTTAGCGAAGTTGCATCGTAAGTCATTAGACATCAATGTAGAACGATGAACATTAATTGGACCAGAAACTATCCACCCTAGCCTGGTTTCATGTAGAATGGGCTTATTACTTCCTAACTTAATTCTTTGTGACCCTAACAAATCCCAAAAGAGATCAGCCCCAATTAAAATATCTACATCGGCAGGCTTATAAAATGCAGGGTCAGCTAAGCAAATACTCGATGGAAGTTGAAAATCACGTATGCTTAATTCGCGGCCTGGGGTATTGCTAGTAATTGATTGCAAAATGAAACAATTAATGTTAGCGGAATAACTATTATCTAACGACTTTAAATGTACACGACACCTTCTGCTTACGTGAGAATACACGCTATTAATGCCTAAAATTGACTTATCTATTTCGACAAATTCTAAATTTAACCGTTTGCGCATTTTCTCAGTTATAAAACTAGATGTACTACCGCAGTCTAATACTGCGCGGGCGACGTGTTCGACATTATTACAATCAAGTAGTTTTATCAAAGCAGTTGATAATAATACGTCTCGTTGTTCACTACGACGCGCTACGTTTGCCGATAAAGCGACGTTGTTCACATCATTGCCTGCAGTTGATGTCATTGACGAGTGAGTCCCTGTCCGAGTGCCCGTCTCATTCTCGAGCGAGAAATTATTTTTATTTCTTACGGTATGACTTGCTACCGGTTCAGTGACGTGAATCATTGTGTTGTGGCGGCGGTTACATATCTTACACCCTGGTTTTTTGCAATGGTTTGCAAAATGTCCTGACTTAAAACAATTATAACAGATCTTGTAAGATGGTAATAATTTCAATCTAGCCTCATTACTGAGTGCAAGAAACTGTGGACATCTACCTAAATTGTGATCGCCGTTACATTTATAACAACCTTTGAGTTGTTTATTTGAGTTTATATTATGATTATTCGATTGTTGCACCGAAACCATGGATTTTAATTTAGGACTTGGCATATGCGGTGCAAAATGAACATTACGCGACGTCTCTAAAATTTCGAGTAGATCAGCTCGGCTACGCATAAACTGGAGGAATATATTAAATGTAACTGATTCATCCTTTTTTAAATGACCTTTAAACTCCTCCCACTCACGGTAGGTTTTCTCATCCAATTTATGTGTAACTATATAAATTAGAAGCGTGTCCCAATGCTGAACTGGTTCGCCTAACGATTCTAATGCCCTCAGGTTTTTACTTAATAAATCGATTAAGCGCTTTAAAGTTACAGACGACTCCCTTGTAATCGTTTCAAGGTTAAATAAGGCTGACACATGATTTTGAACTAACAATCGTTTGTTGTCAAACCTCTCACATAAGACATTCCATGCCACTGTATAGTTACTTGCCAAATGATTGAATTACCACAGCAGCAGACCCTTCAAGAGATGCGCGTAAATAATGAAATTTATTAATTTCATCGATTTCATCATTAGAGTGAATAAGGCTAATGAAGGTATCATGGAACTCCAACCAATTCTCATATGATCCACTAAATTTTGGCAACTGTATAGTAGGTAACTTAACAAGCTTATGATTACTGACTCGAGAACTCTTGTCACTACCTGCCGATTCAGAGTTAGCATTATGGTGATCGCTCAGTAAAATTTGAGCTTTAGCTAGCGCCTTGTAATACTGAGTTTCAAAGCATGAACGCTCAGTTAGTTGTAAGTCGGGTTTGTCGACAATACATTCTAAGCGTAACTGCACCTCATCATATTGGTTATACAATGTGTCCAGCTTACCCATACGCAATTGCAATTCCGTCGCGTCATGATTTTGTAAAGGTGTAGTAAGCGAATCCAAGTAACCAATGAAAGCAGTTAAGCGGCCTTTAAAACTACCTCGTTTTTTGATCAACTCCTTTTCTTCGGTCATTCTGAAAGACGAGAGTATTCGATCCGGAATGTATACAATTACAAATATTCAAAAACAATCTCCGACTATCTAATGCACTAACTAACTACTAAGCTCTGAAAAACTACTTAACTATATTATACAGTATGTAGGTACTAACTCGGCAAATAATAATTTAATAATATTATAGTGACAAGTAACTTTACACAATATTTCTCGACGTTCAAATAATAGTAGATAACTTTATGATTTAAGCTACCTACAATACCTAATTCAATTATTACATACCCACGAAATCAAAGAAAATACCAACAATCGTCCTATGCTACAATTACGCTATTACTTTAGTATAATTTTATTACTATAAAACACTCTAAATAACAAAATAAATAATAATTAAAGCCTAAAAACATTTACTTGGTGTAGGTAATAATAATTAATGCTACTATACGATTTATACTGCACAACTATAATAAATAATGTAAATAAGCAAAAAATAATGTAGATTAATTTCTAACAGTATCCTTACAATACAACTTCTTACTTAATTACTGCAAATTATCAAAAAAATTGCGAATGTAACCACAACGCAGTAGGTAATTAATAATCGATAGGAACAATAAATTCACTAACCTTATAAGTCCGGTGATTTACACCAAATACAATAGGATTACCTTAATAGAGTGTTGGGTGATGATAAATCTTAAACTTTATCTTAAACACCACGTAATTACTGCAAATTGACCCACATTCTTGATGGCGGCCACGTAACTCCAAATTTGATTCCAACGTAAACTCCACTAAATTTACCATATACGAGTATAATATAAATTCTGGTGCTTATTATTTTATATCCGGCGACGATCTAGGACCATGTTCGGGAGTTTACGGGAATTTTAAAATAATGCAACTTGAATGTGGTCTTGGACGATTGTATTGATCTTACAACAGCTGAGAGGGTAATGAATATATTTCAAAGACAAAAACCCTGTTTAAAATTAACGTTAAGTACGGACGTAATTACTACAAGTACGTTGTTTAACTCTTTGCTCCGAAAGAATGCGCAGGCGCTCCAACAATGTCTGCCCTTTTATAATTCTTTTTATAATAAAAAGCTAGATGAATTTTGAAGAGCGAGGTGTCGGTAAATTTCCCTTAATCTCCGGAGTTTCATAGACGACGTTCGCAATTTATATTGCGATTGTGTCATTTTGCTACTTTATTGCTTTTACTATAGGTATATTCTTGATTTCAAAAAAATGTCTTAAAATAAATGCTATGCTCGAGAGATTTTAACGGCTTATCACTTTTTTAGCCAATTTAAAGAATATTTTTAGGCAATAAAAACCATCATTCACAGGAATCTGCTTATGACGTCAATATTAATATAAAAGAAGGATTTATAGAACCAAATAGTACAGTATCTTTATCAGTAACAGTTAAGGCAAATACTCTCGGAGTACATGAGTTTCCTTTGCGGTACGTGACTGAACATTGATTCTAAATAATGTAACTTTGACAAATGGTGAATTATTAATAAAATAACTGTTTCATTGAGTGCAGATTACGTCTTTTCGGTGCAGCTGAGCCTATAGAAATATGTCACATAACTGTGTGTGGAGTACGGCCAATAGTGACTTGCGACCCGATAGCGCTCCATTGGGGTCATGTAAAGTTACTCAAAAAACTTCAGAAAACTTTAACGTTATATAATGATTCACCTCTTCAATTAAAATTTAACACGTATTTGGTTCGTAGAATAAAAATTATATTTAGCAAAGTTTTATGAGTTCCTCACATAAATAATAACTTTATGAAATTTAATTGTAGCTTAATCGTGATACTAAATGGGAAATTGAACCTCGAGAAGATTTTATCGAACCAGAATCTGAAAAAAATCTTACTGTTAATTTGTATTTGGTCGACGCAGAGACGCAGAGTAATAAAGCTGTTATTCAAATTGAAAACATGAAAGATATAGTAAGTAACTTGGATTAAATATAAATAAGTCAAAAATATTTTTATAAATGAATAATTAAAGAGATTTTGAGCAGAATCTTAAAACGTGTTTCTCTACTTTATACCTAGATAGTAAAGTGAGGTAGGACACTAGTCATAGACAATTTAAATGTACACTATTGTATTTCTTCCACTACTTCTCGCAGTTCCATATTCTCAACTACTATAAGTTCTCGTTGGAAGTTTGTTGCGCAGGAAGATATGTTATGAAAAAAAATAGAAGTCTTCTGAAATGACCTAATGTTTAGCTCTGGTGGAGCTACGCATTCTCGTAACTTTGTCGATATAACGTGGGATGCCAAGCCATTTTAGTCGGTGAAGTCTGACAAAACCTGTCCTTGCTAAAAAAGTAGGATAGCCCATAAATATCTTGTTACCATCGATATGTAGCTTAATTTAAAAAATATAATAAATAACTCTGGGAGTTTTGAGAGAGCATCTAAAATGCAAGACACCTGGATGACAATACGATTATCAATCAACCTTGCTAAGTAATGACGCCGAACCCTAACTGGGAAAAGGATGAAGAATATTTACCAGCGGGCACTAGTAATTATCATCGATAATATCGTATAAAATAATGTAAAATAAAGATGTTAATGTTTGTTTTTATTTGTATTTTATACGCTGCCATATCATTCATCAGATTGGGCTGAAACTTTGTCAACATATTTCTTACACTTGCGTGAAGATTATAGGCATAGTACAACTATCTTGCACGCGTATCGTATCGACAAATTTATTTGAAAGTTATAGATCATTGAATTTCAATCATTGTATTATCATTCCTATTTTAAGCAGTATAACTTCTAAATTAAAAGCGACATTTTCACAATTATTTTTCTGCGGCAGCAATGCGTCGGGTATATTATATAATATATTAATTTTATTGAAACAATGACCGATTTGTTTAATTTAATAATTTTGCTAATAGATAAATTTTCAAGTATTTTTGAAAAATCTTTCAGTTGGTGCCACTTACTGCTACAGGAGTTGGAACTAGCATTGTAATAGGAGATTTAGGGGATAGAATCGAACTTGGGCATCAATTTACGAGAATCCCATTAAAATACAAAGTAAAAATGAAAAACCAAGGTACAAAAATGCATGTATTGGAATGGAGCGAACACTACAAGATGCCAAAAAAGAAGCAGCAAGCCGTGTATGATACTTTTATATTATGTACTCTATGAAGGAAAATGAAATAGTGAAAAGTGACTAATAATGAGATATTAGGTTTGTGATTGCGTAGGCGATGGACAAGCCCCTTACTTCTGCCACAATTTTTCATCTAAACCCATATTTTATGACTAAACGTGATCTGAGCAACTCACTACTATTATGACTGCCTACCTTATCGCATGTTACAAGCGCAACTATTAAGTGATTTCTGGAAAAACTAAAAGATTTTCTATAAAAATTGAAATGTTATTGCGAATGATACCGTAACCTGCGCGATTCTACTAGTTGTCTGCCGGTGTAACTGCAAATCACGTTGTGAAATTTACTATAGTCATCTACATCTCATATATTCTATGTTGGTCCTGCTACTGCTGAAGGTAGCAGATGGGTCCTATTTTACATTAGTATATAATTCTTCTGTACGTGTATTGTGTCACTGAACTTCAAAACAGCTGGACCGATTTTGATGAAATTTTTTGTGTGTTTGAGTGGGTGGATGATTTAGATTAAATTGGACCTAGTATGTGACGCTGTTGTCGAGATCCAGAAATCACCGGTGCGAATCCCTGGTGGATCGCCATTTATATGATTTATATTTGTAAAATACGAATTTCTTCAGTTTTATTTTGTGACAAAATAACAATATACCCACATTACTACAAATTTATCAGTGAATGCTGCGTTATATTAAGATTATCAACGTATATACAAGTTTTTTTTAATGCACTTACTTGAGATAAAATTAAATATTATATTATAACATAACGTTTTTATTTTAAATTTCAGAGCCTTTTTCAACTTGGAACCTAGATGTTTTAAAATGTACGCGGATGAAGAATTGGAATTAACTGTAACGGGAAATTCAAATAAAGTTGCTTTAGTTAAAGAAACATGGTATTTGGTAGGAAGTATTGAGGGTATCAATAAAAAAGAATTACTGTTAGAATGTGAAGTCACAGCCGACTTTATTGATCCAAAAATAGAAATATCTTCACCTTTATTAGACTTTCAGTGTGACCGTGGTCCTTATAGTGAATTTTATAAACTAACAGGTAAATATGAATTTTCATTTAAGTGTATATTTGTTTGATTTTGGGATACGATTTAAAACACTGACGACTATTTCAGATATTATAACTATAAAGAATATATCAACATTACCTCTAGATTTGGAAATTAATGTAAGACCACCGTTTGCTATGATACAAAAACAAAACACATACAACATTCAAGACCAAGAGGAAGATTTTTGTCATTGTATATGTTATAAGGAATCTGATTTAAATCTGTCCAATATATTCAGTAGCTGCAGTGTGAGAGAATGCAATGACTTAATTGATTTTCTAACATTAAAACCCGTGTATCCGTTACGCGAAGGAAATTTGCAGTTTTTTGAAGACATTAATAAAATTAAGCGAGCCTTTAATTTAACAAACTTAGTTGAGCAGCATTTAGAGGATCAGGAAATAATGAAAGTTCAAATTGTGTTCGATACAACAAAACACACGTCTTTAAAATCTCGTATATACGGTGATGATATGAAAATTAAATTCAAGGGACATAAAAACAAAGTCAGTATACGCTAATTTAGATAACATTTCATCAATTCAATTTCTATTTTTCTCTTCAAACTTCTTGTGTCAATTGTCATGGAACTCGTACAAGCAAAATTGTTTCCCTGCTTTTATCTGAGGTTTATTGCGCATTCATTTTTTTTCAAATTATAGTAAGACGGGCTAATTTCTAGCAGAGTATGCCCGGATCGGCTCGTAGTTCAGAATTCGCCGGACAAACGGTATAATTCAAAAACAATCTTTATACATGGTAGAGCCATGCTGCAATTATATTAGTAGTATAATTGTAGCACGAATGAGTCAGCTCGACCGGAGAAGGACCATCCTCTCACATAATACCAGCGTAAATAGTCTCAGGACCAAAAGGCTGCTTTTGTCCTCCCGGGTAACAACACTTTATTTTAAGGGAGAAGATGAAGATATTCGGTGAAAGTTCGCGTTGTCGCGATTTATTTGTCAACAAACTTAATCCGATCTCAGTATATTTGTATAGTGGCGGTATAGAATATCCACTACCCAATATCGTACCGTTAGTGTCGCAAGAGGTGACAGAGGAAAAACTGAAACAGGAGCTATTTTCTGAGATGTAAGAGCTGTTACCCTATGCGGCTCCTTCAGCTTCATCTGACTCGGGCTAGACTGATTAAAAAGGGAAAGACAATGAAGATGAGTATGATGATGATAATATTTTATGATTTGGTATTGTTACCAATCGTCATGTCGCCTCTTTGTTCGTTTTTGAGCTATCTAACCGGTCAAAGTGGAGGAATGCGGATCCCCGCCTCTGACCGCTCAGCTCATATCGGTCGATGATAGGAGGAGATGGAAAGGAGCATCTTCCTAATAACAACTAAAAGTAATTAAAACTACAGTTGCCAACCCGCTGGCGTGGCAAAATCTGCCCCGTAAGGCAATCTAAGGGGTAGACACATTCAGCAGTAGGTTTTTGGAGACTGTTATCTTATAACGGATTGATGTATGATTTTTAATTGATTATTTTTAGGACTGTGTCAAATTATGTGGAAGAATAAATTTTCCCAATATTTTAGTTTTAATACCAAAAATTGAATTCCAATGCCTTTTAAATAACAGCATCGAAAGTAAAACAATAAAAATACGGAATACTACTCCGCTTATTGCATGTTATCGATTCCGTTGGAAAAAAGTCTTCATAGCGTCTACCGTATCCGTAAGTGTTTACTTTTCGATGCTTCTTCTTCATCAGAACTTAAAGTCCACAGCTGGATATGGACTTCTTCCGCTGTAATGTGGATTTACCTGTTACGTCGTACTTGGTTGGCGCATTAATATTAGCATTACAAAACGTCTAGCAGCTTTGACGAGATTTATCAAAAGCCATAAGAATTTTCTGGCATTTCCCATAGATGTCTCTTACGACATCCACCGGACGAAGTGGATTCTCTTACGCTACTTCTACACGGAATTTCTTGAAGCTGAATTACAACAAAAATACTGAATCATTACCTCAAACTATAAAAATCAATAGTTATAGCACTAACATCTCAAAACAGACAAGTGTAGCTTACGCGGCATAATAATACCTATAGTCTAGTGGTTGTACTAGTGTGACTACTGATCATTAGGTCCTGTGTCCGAATCTCGGGTCGGGCCAAAAAAATCAATTAAGTTTTTCCGTCAAGAAATTCTCAGTAGAGTCAGAAAGTTGGCAGTGTCACCCTCGTGCTTCGGAAAACACGTAAAGCCGTTGGTCCTGCGCCTGATCTCTCTCCGGTCGTGTTGGCTTACCGTCTCATTGGATTATGAAAGTGAGGGAAGAGGGAGTGCTCCTGTGCTTGCGGATACACTTGGGCACTATAATCCTGTCTTGCACCGATGGCTAGCATCCGTTGAGACTGGCCTGAAAATCGATCTGGAGGACATTAATATTCATTTTAAATTCTTAAGGATAAGCGTTAGCCACTTTTATTTTGGTATTAGCATGCATTTAACAATCTTCTAATAAAGACAATTTATTGAATTAAGTATAAATTTATTAAATAAATACTTACGTATAAATCTTACCCAATTTTGTGTTTTATTTTCCTGTTTAAACTAGTGATTGGCTACTAAAAAATTACAACAGAACAACTGTTTGAATGCGCCAATTGAAAGTATCAATATTCAAAAACGAGATGGTTGGCATTTTAACCAACTCTTTTCGCAAAATATCCAGTCCGGCGACGAGCAGTATCGTGAAACGGTTTGAGCCGTCCAGTATAATGTCTTTCAATTCACTTGCCAAGCACGATGATTAAGGCAAATCCTTCCTGCCAAGGGAGAGGCCTATGATCAGCAGTGGAGTTTTAAAGAGTGATGATAAAGAAGAAGATAATTTTTTATAGGATAGGGTGACAAACGAGCACACAGTCCACCTGATGGTAAGTGGTTGCTGCGGCCCACATACATCTACATCTATCCTCGATTGCAAATCAAAATGCAGATGCGTTTTCACCCGTAAGGTCTAAGATGGAGTGCCTCATTTCCAGTAAAAAGGGTCTCCGGTTCTCTACACTTACCATACGAAACACAGCAGCATTAAGCTACTATTTTACGCTGATATTCTGTGAGAGCGTGGTCCTGCCCCGGTCGAGCCGAGCTATTCGTGCGACAACTATACTACTAATATAACTGCAGCATGGCTATACCACGTATAAAAATACACGACCCCCAACACGAATAAATAAAATGTGTTTATTAACATAGTAAGCGTCCACAGTGTCACGGTAAAATATAATATTATTGCAATTACTTTCAAATCAAAAAAATTACATAGGTAATTATTAGTACGTTTCTTTGTTTATTCTAAATAAATAAAAATAAAGCTGATTTAATGTTAAAAGCTAACGTACATTTGTATGTTAATAGGATATGGACCAATGTGACGTTCATTATGCAAACAATATAACAGACATTAAAAAAGTCTTATTGAGAACAGAACCAAACAGTGAGTATCAAAAGGTATCAATACGTTAAAATTTGTTTATAATTCTAAATGTTATCTGATATTACAGCTTCCAATATAAGCGAAGTTTTATCACAAAGGTCTGAAATATGTTCCGTTAAAATAACAGGCAACACGGCCATTGCATCGGAGGCAATAAAAGAACGAATCTCTGAAATAAACATCAAATTGGAGAATAAAATAATGAAAACTATAGTGCCAATGATAGGTGAAGAGTATTATGACCCAAAATTTAAATGGATATCCAAACTTTCACACACAACGGAACATAATTATGACCGCACTAATGATATGTTACTATTAATACCACATCGAGGCAAATTAAAACCAAATGAAATACAGTATGTTAATGTGATGTTTCGCCCTCAAAATAACATAAACATTAGAGCTGTGATTGAATGTGAAGTCCTAGGAGGGCCATCAGAATTTATAACAGTTACCGGACAATCTTCAGACTTAAAATATAGCCTAAGCACACGAGAAATAAATTTTAAAATTAGATGTTTTCAAGAGAACGCATACGAATATGTACGGATATGTAATAAAGCATTGTTGCCTTTTGATTTAAAAACGTATTTAAACGAATCAAAATATGAAAATGAGCTTAATGCAACAATTTTAGAAGTCGTACCGCCTGAAAAAGTATTACATCCCGATGAAGGAATAGATATAAAAGTTATAATGAGGCCTGGAGTACTAGGTTACTTCAAGAGAGTATTTCTTTTAGAAATTGGTCATCAACCAATTATTCCGATTGAAGTCTTTGGATGGGGTGTTATACCTCAAGTCTATTTGTCGATACCTAGACTAAATATTATTGAAGTATGTAGCTAAAGTTATTAAATAAATTTGTGTCGTAATTGAATGCGAATTATGAAACTTTTTGAAAATTCCAGATTAATCCAACACTGGGATATCTTGCTATCGCCACGTTATCTAATGAATATTTGAATGCTGTCAATCTGATGATTACGAAGCGTACGTCGGAACATTAAAATTTCCATTGATCGAGAAATGATTTGAAGATTCCATTTTTCAACGTGGTTGGCACATATGTTCAGCTCAGGTAAGACCAACTTTAGAAATGGTTCATTTTCTTCGGCTTTTAGAGTAGTTTAAAACTCTCCTAGGCTACCTTCAGTATTTAAATATTAATTTTCTGATCCTTTCGTCTGCCGTCTGTGATAATCTTCAGGATAGTTCCCAAAAATTGACGAAAAAATCTAGTCCTTGTGAAAGAACATAGATTATTTATTCTTACCAAGGAAAGGTTAAGACTACGAGCACTTTAAGTGCTCGTAGTCTTAACGTTATTGAATTGTAATATAAAAAAAAACTGAATTTTAATAGAGATCATGGCTGGATATTATCATCTGCTTGGGATCAGATAGTTAATAAAATTAAATACAAAACCAAGAATACTATTATGTACACGACTTCAAGATACCTTAACTAAATATTAATATTTAAAAGGTTAGGGTAGCTTGGGTTAATGATGGTATCAGGACGGCAAACATCTCAGTCAATTAGTGATCGTGGAGATTGTAAAGCACCCGAATCTATATACTAATAATCTAATAAGAATAAGCATAAAACGCGTATTTATTTATTTATTTTTTTAAATTTTTATTCCATTTGCTTTAACAAAAAAAGGATATACCTTTACCAGTAAACCTATGGTGTTAAAAATGAGACGTATCTTATACTTTCCAGGACGTATTTCCATCTATCATGGATATCGAAATGTCTATTGAAAGAATTTTATTGATAAATTATCTAAACAAGCACCCTGAAGTGTTGAATGCTGCTGCACAATCAACTGTCACAAGAACGAGGCCAATTTCAGGATTTACCTCAACACCTTATGTTATAGATTTCGGCGTAGTAATTACAGGTTCCACGGTAAATTCATTTTAATTACATTATTATAAGATGGTCGAGTAGATTAATATTAGATGGACAGTAAAAAATGAGCTTCGGAAAAGCATACTACGTGGTGTGGTTATAGCATAAGAAAAACTCCATCACCCCATTTCGTTCCATGGCTATCGTAAGAGGCGGTATGGGAAAGGTCAGATTGACCTGAAAGTTTCCGAAAAACAGTAGGCAGTTTACTGTTATAAACTATTAATGATGATCAAGAAAATGCTTGATAAATGGAATCATCTCATAAATAGAAAAAATATTTCCTAGTAAATTTATGAAAGATCCTATATATGTAAGTGACACAGAAACCTTTTTATTTAGATTTCTGTGGTAAGTGAGCAAAGGAGATAAGCATTAGTATATTTATTTTGAAATAAGGGAATGCTAACTTTATAAATGCAGTTTTCATGTCAAACATGCGACAAACGAAGATATTCGTAATAATATTTGCATATATGTTGATATTGCATACATTTAATTGCATATACACATGTAAGTGATTAAAAGTTATTTTTTCGAGTAGGTACTTTGCAGTACCCATAGTCACCGGGTGTTCAACGTCTAAAGTAATCGTGGGTACTTTAGAGTGCTCGAAGCGTCGGCAATATAAAATAAGCTGATGCTTTTACATGGTAGAGCCATGTTGCAGCTATATTATGGTTGTAGCACGGAAAGGTCGGCTCAGTGACTGGGGAATTAACTACGCTCTCACAGTAATACCAGCGAAACATAGCAGATCAATGCTGCTGGTTTCGTATGGTTAGGTATAGAGAACCGGAGAACCCTTTTTACTGTGTCCCAATATTTTGTTTTCAAATTATTCAATTTCAAGAATTCGTAACAATATTTGCTCTTTTATTGATAATTGCGATACCAGGCGGTCCCATAAAGAACTGGCGCTGATATAGTTCAACGCGACATGTCGCTACATGCATTGTGTTGCATTAAACGCTAGTACGTTTATCGTGCACTTCATATAAGTTAAACATGCACCAGTCGACATGAAATGCTCAGTCTAGTTTACTATTATTTATTTCCAAATTTAAAGCGGTACTTAAGAGGAAGAAAATTTTCAAGCGATGAAGAGTTCCAGGCGGCCGTCTTCAGTCATTTTGAGGATAAAAAATGTGATTATTTTTATAAAGGTTTAGAGATGTTGATTCACAGATGTCAGAAGTGTGTTAGTATTCATGGTGATTATATTGAAAAATAAAATTGGTTTCGTTTCATTTCCTTCATTGGTTCATAGTTAGGCCAATTCATTATGGGACCGCCTACGTATGTCCACATTATTTAAGCTGCAAAAATAATGATTTACGCCGCTACTTGAAAAAATGAAAAATTCGCAAATCAAAAAATGGAAATACAATTAATATGTTCTTATGTGTTCATTACACACATATATACATTACATATACATATATTACATACACACATATATATATATATATATATATATATATATATATATATATATATATATGTGTGTATGTATGTCCATTAACAGAGGAATGTTTTCCTTTCGATTTATGCTATCTTAGTCCGAATTTATGGTTTTGGTGCGTGATTTCTTTACACAACTTTTATGTGCATCGTTCTTTAGGTACACTATACGGTTGAAGCAATAAATTACGGTCCAACAATAACCAAGTTACATTTGAGCAAGAACACAAGTATTCCCGATTGGTTAAGTTTAAAGTTATGCGGAAAACTGAATCCAGGTGAAGTTGGACGAATTGATGTAACTTTTTCACCCACAACCGTTGGTTTCCCAGATCCAGAACAGTGTGTTGAAACTGTAATCAATTTAGAGGTATTAAATTATATTATTTATATTATTGGATTATAGAATAATACTGATATCTATTCCCGTAGTAGCTCATTGGTGTTCACTTATAATTTGATATTAATAAATATATTAATATTAATATAAAATTATTAATAAAAAATATATAATAATTTGATCATCATGCCTGCGGTTTTCCACTGTTGCACACAGACCTTTTCCAAGGCATGTCAAGGCAAGGCAAGGCATGACTTTCAAATTATGTCAGTGTTACTGACGAGAAAATTACTGCTAATTTTCTCCTCAGTAACACTGACATAATTATGGCAATTTTAAATATAGTGTATACCATGTACTCAGCAGTGAAGGACAAATTGTCAGGAAAGGTTTTTGTCTATGACATTAAAAATATTTCGAGGTCATAATATATGTTGTCTACAACTTTACATGCGTGGATTGGAGCAGCGCAGTTGAATCTTCTTTATGAAGACTTTGTCTAATGAGCGGAGGCCTGTGCCCATCTAGAGAGATGTTTATTTTTTCAACTAAATTCAAAAAGAAGGAGGTACTCAAATCGAGGAGCCGTGGTAGCTTAGAGGAGCCGTGGTAGCTTAGAGGAGCCGTGGTAGCTTAGAGGAGCCGTGGTAGCTTAGAGGAGCCGTAGTAGCAGATGGTTAGTGATCCCTGTAAAGTCATATTACGCAAGCAACCTGGATTCGATCCAGGCCAAGTTCGTCGTCACCAATAAAATTGTTAATTGCAATTTTAAGCGCCGATTTACCACATGCCCGGTGGTGAAGGAAACCATTGTGACGAAATCTGCATGTCTGATAAATAAAAAATATTTCGAAAACATGAAGTTCGCCAACACGCATTGGGGCAGCGCCAGCGGAGACTTCCTTGCCCTAAAACCCTACTCAGAAATGAAAGGAAGGCCTGTGCCCAGCAGTGGGACGTATACAGGTTGTTTAACTTACACAAATCGACTGTATATTTTTTATGTGTGTTATCTCAGAACTTTTTTCTAGGTGAACCGATTTTAATAATTCTTTTTTTATTTGAAAGCTAGTGCTTTTCGTGTGGTCCCATATAAATTTTATCAAGACTTGACCGGTAGTTCTCAGTTATATTTAATAATGCGTATTTAATTGACGATCATATTGAAGTCGATTTTACAAGCTTTTTAATTTTACCACTTATTTATATTGAAGTCGGTTGTACAACATGTTTAATTTTACCACTGTTATAACCGAATCATTTACTTATAAATTTAATAAATTTGGAAATTAAAGGTGCCGTACGGGGTCACGATTCCAGTGAATTTCAAAGCACTCTGTGCAGTTCCCTATTTGGTTTCTAATGTTGATTTAATCGATTTTGGCTGCGTGAAATGTGGCAACAAAGTAATTTATTCGATACCGTTAAAAAATATGTAAGTTAATGAAATTAAATTTACTAATTGTTTCGATTACTGTAAAAAAGATGTATAATTCATTGCTTTTTTTTTTCAAAGTGGCAAGCCAACATGTATCTGGTATGCAACGTTAAAGCTAAAATCACCTGGGATGAGTCAAATGACGGTGTTAGATAGCTCGGGTAAGTTTGAGCCTGGGGACAGTGGCTGGCTTAATATCGCATTCAAGCCTACATTGGAGGTAATATTTTCGTTAATTACTGGTATTATATCCAACGTACTTGATTATCAAATGAAATTTCATTTTACTCAATCACTGACTTTAAACTGTGTCTTTGCCTCCGCCACGAGAACATTTCACTTGTAACTACTCTGCTCTGGAAATCTTTCACCACTTATAATCAGCTTGAAGTGCATGCAAGTCAATTGGGTCAACAAACTGAACTTCCTCCATCTGTTCTAGCGGGTCCGCCAAATAACTTTTTTTTTTAAAAATGCTATAAAAAAACTACTAAATATTTTTTCAAATTTCTTTTTTTATTTTAAAGTACAATCCTTCCGGTTAATGATGGAAAATAATTTCATTCAAATGGCTGCCTCGGATGGCCATGCAGTAGCCTACACGATCGGTCCAATTTTTGAGTACGTTATCGATTGTGTGCAGCTGTATTTGCAACCATTGGACAGGGGAGAAAAAAATAAAATGGCTGCGACTCTCGTTTGCCCCCTTATAATATAAAAAAAAAAAAAAAACGAATATTGTCCTTTAAAGCGTCAATTGTCTCTGGCTTGTCGGCGTAACACTTATCTTTGACGGCACCCCACAAATAATAGTCCAACGGTGTCAAATCGCAGCTCGAGTGGCAAACGACATCAGCTCTGCGGCTGATAATGCGATTTTCAAAAACAGGGCGCATAACATCAAGTGTAGCGTCGGCTGTGTGGCACGTTGCGCCGTCCTGTTGAAACCAAATGTTGCCAATATCCTCCTCTTCAATTTCTGTGAACAAAAATTCGTTCAACATGGCCCGATAACGATCGCCATTGACTGTAACGGCCACACCTTGCTCATTTTCGAAGAAAAATGGCCCAATTATGCCTCTGGACCAAAATCCGCACCAAACAGTGACTCGTTTTGGGTGCACCGGCTTTTCGATGAATGCGTGCGGGTTTTCTGTGCCCCAAATGCGACAATTCTGCTTGTTTACATACCCGCCAAGTTCGAAATGAGCTTCATCTGAAAAGATGATTTTTTTGGCAAAATCCGCATCTTCTGCAAGTCGATCGCAGGCCCACTTAGCGAAGCGAAAACGCATTGCATGGTCAGTTGGCTTCAACTCCTGAACCAATTGGATTTTGTACGGCGTCATACCAAGGTCTTTAAGCAAAATTCGTCTCAATGATGTCTCCGAAATGTCCGAAAGAGTGAACTGATGTTGATGGCGTTTCACGCACACTTTCGGCCACAGCAGCAATATTCTCGGGTGTACGCACTGTTTTTGGCTTTTCACGCGTTGGTTTATCGATGAGTATGCCAGTTTCTTTCACTTTTTTCACAAGGTAACGAACATACGGAGCTGACGGTGCTTCGTTTCTTCCAAAATCCGTACGCAATTTTCGCACACATTCTGCAACATTACCATGATTTTCAAAGTAATGTCGCAATATTTCCCAGCGTTGTTCAAGCGTATACACAACCATATTCGTTCAGCGGAAGGATAAAACTAATTATCTGTCAAATTAGACATGAGCTCATTCACGAAATAAGCACTAGTTGAAAAAAAAGTTAGATGGCGGACCCTATACATGATCGAGTTTCCGGAGGCAGGGTGTATTAAATTGCCCCTTAATTGAATCATAAATTCTTTAATTTGAATTTTTTTCGGACCTTCCCGCTGCCATCTTCCCATCCACCTGGAACAAACATCCTTCATTATTTACAGGTCTTAGGATAATCTACTTGTCTCCAAAAAAGTTGTTTCCTTACTTCTATCTCCAGGCTTCACAACCGTACATTAGTATAGGCCTTATGACAGTTTTGCATGTTACCGAAATTTCTGTTCTTCTGCTGAAAAGTCTGGACACTGGCACTGCACAGCAGTTCATTCTCTAGATACATCTTAAGGAGATATCATTATAATAATCATATATTTACAGGATTTTAAAAATTATATTATTAAACACAAAAATAATAGGTGCAAAAGATGATACAAATTTTTTTATTGCAGGTAACCTATGAGGGTTTATTAATATTCAGATTCCATATGAATCCAAAAAGAATGACTATACCTATCATAGGATACGGGGTTTTACCTAAAGTTCACATCATTGGACCTAACATAAGCTTCCCGCCAACTCTGCCTTGGGCCGAAACTACAGAATACTTTTTCGGATTGACTAACCCTTGTCCCTTTCCAATAGAGCTCATAATAGCACATAGTGATACGTAAGTTATAATTTCCTTTTATTATGTCACAAACAACTAACAAAATCCAGATATCAAATGATTAGAAAATAAAATATATTAAAAAGTTAGTCGGGTAATGATTTCTTACTTTTTAAACGAATCCTACACATTAAAACTAATTTTGTCGTATTTTATTTTAACTTACATTATGACTAGCAATTGTATTGAATATTGAGTGAATGCATGAGTATTATAAAAAAAAATTATCAATAATAAGTTATAAAGTATTTATTTTAAATTCGACTTCGAAAGTCCAAAATATTTGGGAAGAAGATTTATTACAAACGTAAACCATAGTCTTTTTTAATTCTTTTTTTTATAGAATAAGAATGATAAACGAGCACACAGTCTACCTGACGGTAAGTGGATGCAGTGGCCCATGGACATCTTTCCTCAATTAAGAATCAAAAAGCAGATGCGTTGTCACCTCTGAGGACTAAGATGGGATGCCTCGTTTCCAGTAAAAAAGGGTCTCCGGATCTCTACACCATACGAAACACAGCTGCTATTTTGTGCTAGCTTTCTGTGAGAGCGTCCCGTCGAGTCCTGCCCCGGTCGAGCTGACTTATTCGTGCTACAACCATAATATAGCTGCAGCGTGGCGTATAGTCTGCTAGTTAATGATTTTTTTGATGAATGATAAATGTGTATTGAAATATCTTAAAACGATTCGGTTGAAGTAATAAAATACGGCCAATCTGATTATGAATCATTATCGGCTGTTCCGCACTGAAAAGTTAAAACTAGTTATTTTCTTCCTAATGCTACTGCCGCTGCGCCTGCTCTTACTTCTTCGTCATATTTCACTAGACTGATATTTGAGTTTGAACGATTTCAAAACTTGTATTTAAAATATTTGGTCAATTTAATTGCAAATCAGTGGCATCCTCTTTTTGATCCTCAAAAACATAATTTAATATTTGCCTTGTATTTCGCCTCTACGCTTTGTTATTTTTTTATTTTTTGTTTTAAAGTATTTTGTATATTGATAATTTTCTTCATTTCTTCGTTTACCTTTTTCTCCGAACTTCTGTTCATTCGTCTTCTTCTTCATTAAGAAAACCATTTAAAATAGTAAAAGATTTGAACTCCAACCACTGCAGTCCAATATACTCTTTGTTACTTTATATCATTTATATTAAAGCGTGTCACACACTACGCAGATACGATATCTGTATCTGAGCGCATATCTTTCAATATCGCTCTCTATAAAATTCAATGACCTCACCAACACAGTGCAGATAATTTATTTTTTTATCGTTAATTATCTGTAAGCACCGACATATATCGAAAGATAGGGACAATATTATCTGTTTATACAAATATATAGATATAAATACGGCATACGATTTCCCCTGCAGATAAATACACAATGGTCGCTAAAAATACGATTAAGTTCGCCTCGGTGCTTTTTAAGCTTTATATGACCTTCTATTCAAATTGTTTGCTGTTTTTGTAAATTAATGCTAATGCAACATATCAAAATCTGAATTCTATTCTGACGAGCTGTACAACAAATCTAGAAACAATATACGCCAATTCATTGTAGGTATAAACAATCTGCTCCAATAAACACGTCTAGATTGTAGGTATAAACAATCTGCTGCAATAAACACGGCTAGTAAGTTTGAAGGATTTCGAGTGAATGTATCATTTCGGATATTATCGTATCTGCGTAGTGTGTGATACTTTCGGATAAGTTAGTTAAGTTTTTATACGCAGATAAAATATCGTATCTGCGTAGTCTGTGACTCGCTTGATCCTTTTGAAATAGATGGGTATAAAGATAAAAGCTGTTATATTTGGAATTATTTTTACTAAGGCGCCCTTTTCTTTATTCATTCTTTAATAATATCAATTCTTTATTAAAAGATTGTAATATATTTTACCCTCTTTATGTCATTATGTATTTTGTAGGTACTTTTCTTATTTCTGTGTTAGCCTACATTATGAGATAATTCAAATATGATTGCTTATTATTTTTACGTCATCAGACTTAAAATAATTTTAGGATTTTTATTGTGTCATTTTGTAGGAAATGGCAAGAAGAAGAAGAAATCTACCAACTTTTGAATAAATATTATAACAAACCAGAAGAGATGCTTGTGCCCGCAATAAAGCCTGGTTCCGGGCTGCCGCCTGAAATAAGAGAATTTTATCAAAAATTCAAAGAAAGCATTAAAAAGTAATACCGGTTTAATGTTATTACCTAATGATAAAGTGTATAAAATATTTTTAAAATTGATGATAAAAATTTTAGATATGCAGAAGAGGCTTCCAAGATTTTTACGACGAAAACGTTGTCTGTAAAGTAAGTCCTTTCGAATATTCCACCAAATTTGTCGTTAATATGACATTTGATATACGAGTATATAAATCTAACCTCCTATTACAATTTTTAAGTAAAATTTTACTAATTTACTTTGCATGATAGAAAAACAAAGAGTCCTAAGAATGCAATAAAAACTATAAGTCAATCACTAGAAGTGTCTCCGAGACACCACCGAACCGAAGTGGAAATTATCGAAGGTTAGTAAAGCCTATTTAACATCTAAAAAGTATAAACATTTATAAGGTACGTATTTAAAGCTGATGTTTTGGTAGGTAGCAGGTTTGAATAAGCCCCCAAAGATATACATGAACCGTATACAAAGCCCGCTTTTTGTATTTTTTACGGATAAAACAAGTCCGTCATGCAAAAGCTATTTGTTTTATTGGCCAGGACAATCTTGACATGTTCTATCCCGACGAAGCCGGGGTGGGATTTCTAGTCATTAATTTGTTTTACGTCATGTGAGACAAATGGGACGAAATTGAGTGAAGACAATGAGTGACTTCCCTTAATTGATACGCAATACTCACTTTCTTTCGCTTTCATGTTCACAGTCCATATGTATGCAAGTAAAATCCTGCAACTATCGGTAAAGTTTTATGTGGTAGAGCCATGCTGCAACTATATTAGTAGTATAGTTGTAACACAAATTGGTCGGCGTCAAATAGCAGCTTCTTTATTGAAATTAGGATGTTTTTTAATTTCATTTGCCTCACGTATCATCCTTGGTAGGAATCGATGTACTTTCGCGAGGATTTGTGGTCTATCAAACCTGATGTATTGGTTGGGGCCATCTAGGATATGATCACAAACTGCAGACTTCATATCATCATTCATGTGATCATAAAATAAATAAAACGCGATAAAATCCGTAAAAGAAGTTTTAATCAATCTCAATAACATTGCAAATCTCAATTCATCGTTTCCTTAACATTTCATGTAAAAGTCTGTGTTACGAAAATAGTCTGTCAATGTTATTAATTCTAGAAATAAACTGAAAGGAGTAAAATAATTTCATAGTTTTAAAGCTCCGACTTCTGAAGCTGTGAATTTGTATATATTATTTTAATATTTTTAGTTTTTAGAAATCAATTTTACTGTTTGAGTACACACGGACTAATTCGTAATCGAGCGTTTTTCTCGATATGTATGTCCTTAGAGTACACATAAATAAAAGTTTGTTTATATATGCTCTTAGTGCATATCTTACAAAAATGATGATTTTATAGAATATCTACGAGCGATCCACATTCAATTTTCAACAAAACCATTAAAATTGCCAAACGGAATTTAAAATGTTCGTTTTTCACGTACTTAAAATATTGAGATGACATCGTGATGTCTGAAAAATTTTTATATTTCAAGGACGTAAAATTCATCAACTTGTATTTAAAAGCTGTTTAGAGCGATTATTCCCTGCTCTAAAATCTAAACCCTCATAGCAATAAAAGGGCTTAGTATTAGGACGTGTCCCAGTTGCCTTTGATTTTTCATAGCATATAAAACATTGTGTTCGCTATATTAATATTTTTACAGATGAAATTCGAATAATGAAAGAAAATAAGATTGATCCGTTAAAAGATTGTTTACAAGAACCGGATTATACGCCCACAGTTACACATTCTGAAAAACATTCAAACGGTCTAATTGTTTTGTTTCATGGTTCCCCATGCGAAGGTTTAAAAATTTATATTTTTTGTACCATAACATAATCTACAAAATAAAAAGGTTAAAATGAGTTGAGGTATGATATGCGTTTTTGAAAATTTTAGAAGAACAGTGTCAAGAAATGGCATATTCAGTTGGGAAAAAACTTAACCTACCAACTTTAAGCGTTGATTTATGCTTCGTTGAAGCACTATGTGTCAGTAATTGTCAAGCAAAACAAACTTTGAATAGAGTCATTAATGAAATATACGAAGTATGTAAGTCTGGAATAGATAAAGAGGATATAAATGAACAAACTGAAGGTAATTGTGATAGAATTAAGATTTTTACGTATTTAACGTAATATATTGGTGTAAGATGCAGGAGTGAATGCATTTGTTTAATAATTTGTGAGCCCTGCGCTTACTGCTCTATTTTAAAATATTTTAGTGACGTTATGGTCAAGTTATTAATACTACATTTTATATTAACACTGTAATAAGTTCGGAGTGAATTTAAACTTAAATTCATCGTGCCATCTATCGGAAATCACAGAACAGTACCTGTCGGGTCGGCTAATAATTCAATACATAGCTGTGAAGCATATTATTTGTTTTTATTATTTTATATTATTCTGCATGTTTCGTGAGTATTAGAGCACATACTCACATTACGTATTGATCAGTAAAAATGCTTTGCTTTGCTGATCTGTACTCAATTCAATCAGTTAATCCACGCACTCCATCCATGTCACTTTCTTTTTAACCTACTTCAAAAAGGAATAGGTTCTCAATTCTATTGTATGTCTTTTATGTGTGTTACCTCAAAACTTTTCTCTCGGTGAACCGGTTTTGATGGTTCTTTTTTATTTGAAAGCGGGTGCTTTTCGTGTGGTCCGATATAAATTTGATCAAGATCTGACCAGTAATTTAATGCTTAATTTATTTAACTTACGAATACATTGATGATGTTCTTATTTTATTTCTATTGAAGTGGGTTGTACAATTTTTTTAATTATACCGCTAATTAATAGTAACGTATAGATTTTGAAAATACTTATTTTGTATGAATATTAATGGGTTGGGTTTACAATTCGAAGATACAATTTGAAGATTCTGTCACTGTGGGGGAGTCAAGGGGGTTTATCTGAAGCACCCCCACTCGATTTTTTCTGCCGGAGCAGCGTCGAAGTATTTTTAATTATTTTTTAAAAATATTGGTAAATGACTAATTTAATTACGTTTTTGACGTTTCATCTGTCAATGTCATATCGATATATAGTACTGAATCGATCTAGTGAATCGATATTTCACTCTAGAGAATCGAGGTCGAATCTTTTTCAGTTTTATTAAGATTTGTAAAATTATTTACAATTAGTTTAATGTACCCCAACTCGTAAAGAATGACAGTTTTTAATTTAATTATTCAATGTTATCTGTACTTTATTGTATCTTTTGATATCGTAAATATAAACTTTTAACGCAAATCAAAAAAAGATCGATTTTTGCGAAATCGATCTTTAAGATTTCGATTTTTTGTGAATCGATTCATCCAATTTCGATTTGAATCGATTTAAAATATGAAAAATTAAATCGCTATGCCGGCCATTTTGTTGACAGGTTTTCCTCATGGCGTTGCTTCCGAGTTTCAGAATTTTGGTGAATAGTGAAATATTTGTGGCGGCGGAATACTGCTAAATATCGCAAAGATCTTTTCTTACAAATGGTGGCAGCCATAAATTATGTTTATAAATTAAAGTAGTTATGAAAGTTAATAATTTGGTGTTATATCGAGTGCAATAGCGAGCGAAGCGAGCCTGGGACGTGGAGCACCCCGACTCGGACAGGTTAGGTTAGAAGAGGATGACTGGGTCGAGTGAGCGAGCGAAGTGAGCGAATAGACCCCGTCATCCTCTTTGTGGTTATTTTTTTTAAACCACTCAGAAGAAGCTCCTAGCCTTCCGTCGACCGGACTTCCCTCGGCTGCACCACGTTAAGTGGCGTGGGGCTTCCGTCCCCCAACTCTCTCTCTCCATAAATCAGGTTAAAATTGTCATAAAAATTACGAAACATAACCTCAAAATGAGATTTTTAAAAATTAATAAAAAAAAACTAAACACGTCCGGCAGAAAGTGGAAGTAGGGGGTGACTCTACAACTCCTCCCCCTCCCCCCACGCCACCCCCCACCCCCAAATTCAGAAAAACGAATTGTAAACCTTAGCCATATTAATACATTATTTTGTCGGCTACGGCAGAGATCGATGTTAAAATAATGTAGTTAGGTAATAATTAATTGTATATTTGATTTAGTACTGTCAACATTGTTCTTTATTATCCGGGATTACAGGTCAAAGTAAGTACAGCTTTTTCAATGTATAAACAGTTGTATTTTGGTCGCCCAGAGATTTGTTCATAAGTAAGCCAGTAGGGAAGTATATTATGTGGTAGAAACATGTTGCTGTATAATGGCTGCAAAACGAATAGATCACCTCAGCCAAGAAAGACCAAGAAAGACCCTAACAGAATACCAACGTGAAATAGTAACATAATGTCAGCAACATTACTGAAAATATTTATGGATAACGAGACATTTCATCTAAGTACTAAAGGGCGACAATTTTAAATTCAATTTCTTTTCATGGTCGAGTTTTCTGAATTAAAGTTATTTCTATACGTTTGAATACTGATTCTGTTGACGTACTTAACTAGAACCACAGGGTTTTTGTTACACGTGTATAATTTCTTATATTTAGGCGAACACTACACATTGAATAAAACTGCTACGTATTTTATTCTGTTACGGATTTTATTTAACTTTTATTTAACTCCCGACGTTACGAGTGATTCGTAACACCCATCGTCAAGGGGAGGTGTTTAACGGGATAGTTGTCATATATATAACCGAGTGTACCTTCAACTTTTAATTATTAATTTCGATGCAGTCTACGTGGTATGAAGTTAGGTTTTGTATTTTAAAGTGTTGCAGTGGTTTGTGTTGATAAAAATAAGTTAAATAATATGCAATGAAATCCGTAATGCTCGACACACACGGCCAGTTACACTAATCATTTGAACTGTTGTACATCCAAATACTCACCGTGAGTATGAAATCTTACATTATCGTAAGTAGAAATTTAAAACTAGTGAGAAGAGAAATTGTTTTGGCTTACATCCGTTTGAACTGATTAGTTCAACTGATCGTGTGTATTCTATAAAAATGGTCGTAATTCGTATTCAATAATACGTGTGCCCGTTTGCTAATTACACTTATAACAAAATATTGTTATTTATGTTAAAGAAATAAATGAAACAATCGATGAATTTGAAACAATGTTGGACAAAATCAAAACTATAACGAACAATAAAACGCTCGCTACGCCGAAATCAAGAGCCAGTGAAAAGAGAAAAAAGAGATCAACATCGTCACTCGTATCTCATACCGCATTAGAAGCTATGGGGTCAACCACAATGTTTAATTTGGTACTATATTTTAATAAGTAGAAAAATTTAAAATATATATTATGTTGTTTTTATATTTATATTACGTTCATTGTAAAATATGTATTGTGCTCTTTGAAATAATCCAACGCTAAGCGAAATAATATTCCTTTTATATTTATTTTACTATAAATTTAAATAATTTACACATTTATTTAATTTTGACTAAATCAAATACTAGTTATAATTAAAATCCTTTAAAATAGCCAGAATTACTTTAAAATACGTGATGCATCACTGTCATACATAGCGGAAAATTAAAACCTAAGAAAAATTGTATATAAAACAGCGGAATTGTTACCTAAACTTTTATTGCTTCTTACTACTGCAGTATGTAATCAGTATTTTTCTTTTTAATAAAGAGTAAAATTGCTTACCGCGAGGTAAAGGTTTTACTTTTCCTCCGCTAACATGAATACCTATAACATGAATAACTAGTCTTCAATTACTACATATGATCATATAGTTATAACCTACCGATGGTAATTCTTCATCTATACATTTCTTATGAGCCCAATTTTTACGTATTATGTAGCAAATAATCCACTCTTTAACATAATATGAGGACATTCATAATTCCCATTATAAAAAAAATAAAATAATGGTCGATATTTTTGTCCTTTCTTATTTTTTGAAAAGTTGGTTGCGTCCGGTTCTCCCAAGTTGCTGTTAAGCTCATGGTTTAAACAGTATAAATGCGTGAATATAGCACTAGTGAGTGGTGACGTGGTTTTTAAGATGTCAATAAACACAATACTAGTATTTCTTTTTAACATAGTAGAATTGATGGGCGGCGTTTGTGTTTCCACCTCTTTCCCCTACTTTATTTCACTATGTAAGCTATAATATCATGATTTCTATACAATAATTATTTTGCTTTTATAGAAATACCATCATCATCATCATCATCATCATCACAGCCCTTCACAAGTCCACTGCTGAACATAGGCCTCCCCCAAGTAATGCCACAAAGCACGGTCCTGAGCCACCTGCATCCATTGACTTCCTGCATATCTTACCAGGTCGTCACTCCATCTAATGGAGGGTCGCCCTACACTACGCCTACCGGTACGAGGCTGCCACTCGAGAACCTTTCTTCCCCATCGGTTATCGGTTCTTCGAGCTATATGGCCGGCCCATTGCCACTTCAGCTTACTAATCCGTTGGGCTATGTCGGTCACTCTGGTTTTACTGCGGATATCCTCATTTCTGAGTCTATCACGCAGAGAAACTCCGAGCATAGCCCTCTCCATAGCTCGCTGAGCGACCTTGAGCGTCCTCATACGGCAATACCATGGGTTTACTTTATTCATAATTATATATATAATAAATAAATACATATAAAAATCTCATCATTGTCATTGTCGCCTTGCAAAAGTCCATTACTGAACATAGGCATCTAAGTAATACCACAAACCGATCAATTTTCGGTTCGTCGAGCTCTATGTGTGGCCTGCTGATTGCTACTTCAGCTTACGTACCCATTTTCCATCGTCGACCTAATCTTTGCCCTCGGGTCAGATAGAGGTCAAGAGTGTGCCCATTTTCTTTTTATAAAATTAAGACCCGTGAAGTCGTAAAATGGTTAGATATAATCAATAAAATATTAGGGTAATACAGTAATTTTATAGACCTTTCTCTCCAGGAATTAATTCAAGAGCTCCTAACTGACTTTCTCGATCAACCTAAATTTGATCGTGGTTTTGTGATCGATTCCTTAACAAGCGCGATATTAAGAAGTCCATCAATAGTGCTAACCACTATTCTTAAATGCAAACCCACTATATTAAAGATACATTTAGTTTTATGTCAGTCAAACTTTAATAAATGGGCACAAACGTATGAAGAATCGCAAAAAGATGACGATATAACAGAGGAGTGAGTAATTTTAAAATTGTTAAATCATAGGTTAGATTAAATCATAGGTTAGATTAGATCATAGGTTAGACTAGATTCATTGAAAAACCTATCTGTCGATTTGGTTTAGCTAGATTTTGAGTTTAGTGGAACAACACAATTGTTTATTAAAGTTATTGAAATATAATATTCACGATTTATACAATTTTTACACATAAGCCGATTCAGCTTATTAAATTTTCTTTTTGTGAAAATAAGACATGTTATTATTGTAAATGTACACTATGATCCAAAAGAAAAACACGGAGAAGTTATATAGCGTAGAAAGAGAGCATTCTGAAATTAAGTTGTTGTATGTACAAATTAACTTGATTTGACTAATATATGTAGCTATTCTGTCGAGCAAGGTGATGGCAAACAAGCATGCGGCTCACCTGATGGAAAGTGTTAGGTGCCGCACACGAACAACTGCAACTTTAGGGAATTGTATGTACTTTGCCGGCTTTTCAAAAATGAGTAAGCTCGTTTCTTGGATGTTCCTAAGTTATATCGGTCCGAAAAATTTGCCGATGGTAAATGATTACTCGGAGAAATAATGCGAGGAAAAAAACTCCTATTAAATCTCACCGTGGTGGAACGCATCTAGATGGTGTGGATGGTATTAGAAATTTTGTTGCGATGTGCGTTAATGGAATTTGGTGGCTGGAAATAATTCGAGAAATCCTCTGAGAAATCCTCGTGGTAAATGCAATAAAAGATGCAGAGGGATGCAACATATCTTCGCAGCGCCAGTGAATCGAGCCGATCAGAAATAACTCGGTCGTCGACGATTCGAGCCGCTTATTGCTGAACGCAGTGAATGGTTGGCACTGGGGTGCCAGAGATGAATACAGTATTCCATGCCATACCTTTGCCTTGTAAAGTTGTAAGCGGTGTAACAACATGAAGTACTATCCTGCTCCACAAATCGTACCAAGCTTTGTAGAGGCCAATTTGGTCTGCCCTTCACCAGTGCTGTCATCCGCATAGCAATGAATGGTTTGCAACATATAATTGTTATACAGAAGAAACAACATAGGTGATACGCACGTGATAGAATTGAGAGTAAGTAAATGCGTGCCACGTGGCTATAGTAGCGCACCGCCAACGCTGAAATATGCAGATTATACCCATGCAATCTACCCATTACGAGCGCAGAACTGACTTGTGCTGTATTTCGATAAGTGGAGTTTAGTCCTTTAAAACTATGAATGACATAAATGAGCAGCTCTACCAGTATATTTGCTTTCATTAATTTTCCTAAATCTATAGTATTGTTTAAATTACGTAAGTATATTGTATATATCTACATCACTCATTTTGTCAAATGTTTGCAGAATTATTCATAAAGAATATAGCGATAGTGAAATTGAAGAAATAATAAATTCGTTTGAAAACATGACTGACGAGGAATATGAGAACGCAAGTCCAGAATTAAGATCAATATACATTTTGCGTGGCTTAGAGGACCGACGTAGGAAACACTACCTAAAAGCAGGGTATTTTTTTTTCAAGTAATTATGCGCTCTCAATAATGGATGTAGCTACAAGTCAATTGTCGATATTTTATTACAGGGTCCCAAAAGCAACTGTTATGAAAGAAAAGGATACTAAAGGTTAGTTTATTTCCTAAATCATCTCAACCGCATCATTAAAAATAGTATTTTCTACAGTTCGGAGCGTTTACTATAATTGCTCTGTTTTTTGACGAAGTGGCCATCCATTTCCATTTTAGGATTTTAGGTCTGGGCCTATAAAACTATACTTCAAAACTTCTCTATTAAGTGGATAAATACAGAGAGCTGGCTACGCTAGATCTGTGAGTATTTATCGACTTCAGATAATCTTAAAATATTTTTAGTGTTGGATATGCAGACTTCATCACAATGTTAGTTTTTACCGCTGAGGTTTTTATGTATAACAGTCACCTCGATTGTTTCGGTGGCAGTACTAATAATTTTTTTTATAGGATAGGGTGACAAACGAGCACACAGTCCACCTGATGGTAAGTGGTTGCTGCGGCCCATAAACATCATTCCTTGATTACAGATGAAAATGCAGATTCGTTGTCACCCGTGAGGACTAAGACGGAATGCCTCGTTTCCAGTAAAAAGAGGCTCCGGTTCTCTACACTCACCATACGACAAACAGCAGCGTTAAGCCACTATTTCACGCTGGTATTCAATATCAAATTTAAGTTAAGTAGGTGAGCAGTCGGCCTCTAAATTATCACAGCTCTTTACGGCTAAGTACCTACTAAGTTATTCTGACATTTTATTAACGCTTTAAACTTACCATATCTTTTGATATGTCTTTAGATAAATTCTCAAATGATTCTGACAAACAGTACTTTAGGGTAGTGTATTCTCTAACAGCAGGTCTAGCATGGGCAGGAGACAAGAATTTTACCCCCCGATTATATCCACCGACAGAAGATAAAATTATCTTATCCCTATGCCAGAGCACGGCAACAGGGGAAAGGAGAAGTATATTATCCGCGTTTGATATAACGAGTAAATATATATCCCCCGTCCGTAGCATGGGGCCAAAAGAAAGACAAAAAATTATCCTTTTCTGACATTTGAAAGGGACAATTTTATCCTCGTTCATTGGATGTGGGTTTAAGTTTTTTTTTTCAAACCGCTTTGATACAGAACTAGATTTACTAACACCAACTGTGATAAGTTAAACAAAGGTACACAAAATATTTTTACAAGGCACAGTTTCGACCGCACATGGAATACTGTTCCCATCTCTGGGCTGGGGCTCCCCAGTACCGGCTCCTTCCATTTGATCGCATCCAGTGCAGATCGTTTCAAATCGTCGGCAACCAAGCTCTTTCCGATCAGCTTGACTCACTGGCAGTGCGAAGAGATGTTGCATCTGTTTGTTTTATCTGTTGCATTTTATCGCATTTACCACGGGGAGTGCACTGAGGAATTGTTCGGACTAATTCCAGCCGCACAATTTTACCATCGCACATCGCGATAAAACTGGCGATACCATCCATACCATCTGGATGACTGGCGGTCTATCACCGTGCGATTTAAAAGAAGTTTTTTCTTCGCACAACTTCCTTGTGGAATCAACTACCACCAGAGGTTTTTCCGGACGGATACGACTTAGGGATTCAAGAAAAGAGCCTTTTCCTTTTTAAAAGGCCGGCAACGCATCTGCGATAACCCTGATGTTGCACTTGTTCATGGGCGGCGGTAATCACTTACCATCAGGTGAGCCGTATACGCGTTTGCCCGTTTGCGTTTTTTTTTGAGTTTAGGGTGGTATATTGTCTGCGTAAAATAATTTGATAAAAAATATTTTATTTTAAACAGGTTTAACCAGCATGAAATCTTTATTAGCTGTAGACAAATCAGAGTCGAAAAAGAAAATAAAAAAGGACGATTTAAAAGGTACGTACGGTTTACTGATTTTAATGAGATTCACTATAATAATTTGTGTGATTTCTTTCGGTTATAATTTGAAACTAGAAATATTTTTACATGCGGGTTTAAGTTCGTTATCATCTTAAAATAAGCCTGCAGAGGATTAAGCCAAATCTTCCATAATTTGGGAGAGGCCATGTCCAGCACTGCTAGAACTTTTGTGAACAGATGATATGACGAAGAAGGAGAATCTACAAAATTCAAGCACATATTTACATTTTTGTCGTTCTGTTTTTATATTTTATCAGTATTTGATAAATACAAAAATATTGGCTCCTACAAGACCTTGATGATGTTTGTATGCAGATAAACTTTTTCTTCCAAAGTTTGGTAAAGTTTGGTGCAAATGAGGAACTACTTAATTCGACTGCATGTTTTTTTTATGTGTGTTAACCTCATAATTTTTTCCAGGTAAAACTACTTAGATGATTCTGAAGTTGATGCTTCTCATGTAGTTCCATAAAAATTTGATCACGATTTTACCAGTAATTTTTGAGTTATCCTTAATAATGTGTATCTAATTAACTTTGACTACGTTTATGATGTTCGCATTTTATTTATATTAAGACGGTTGTACAAAATTTAGCAGTTTTAGCACTTTTTGTTTAACCTACTACCTACAGACCTACAGAATAACAAAAAAGGATAGACGGAGTGCGGCGTACATTTGAAGTCATGCCGAAACCATGCTCGATTCCTTGACACGCACTCATGTACAACAACAAATTAATGTGCAAGGATTTTAAGAAAATACTCACGTATCTACGACTTGTACGGTGATTACATCTGCACTTACCTTAAATGAAATTTAAAAATAAAACTAATTATTGCAGGAAAACCAACTAGCGAATATTTGGCGATGAATATAAAATATAATGATTATTATAAAAATATACACGAAAATCTAATAAACATCGCAAATAACTGGATCGTAGAACAGTGTGACTTGGGTTCTCCGTTAATTGGACTTAGCGGTCAAGTCGTGGGGCAAAATCAGAAGAAATCTAAAAAGAAGTCTGAACTACACTTACAGGTCAAATCATATGATTACAACAAAAATTGGTTGTTAAACCCAGGACTACATTATTTCATTTTAATAACGTTGCAGGTGTCTGAAGTATCTTTTACTGAAAGAGGTTTTCCATTGACACTTATTACCTGTCCTTGTATTAATTATAAAGAAGCCGTCGTGAACATGTTTGCGTCCTCGCCTTCACTTCAGAATGCTTTAAGAAAAACAGAGAAAAGTGATATTTTTAAACATCCAATCCAAAAAAATGAATTTACCGTTTTACTTCCGAAAATATTTCCAGTTATGGAAGAGGAAGAGTCACTTAAATGGGTTTATTTAGATGAAATGCCAGTATGTTTCTGTATTATTTATTGTGACTTGTAATTATATTAATGTTTCTTATGATTTGTAGCTGTTGATTACGGATTTTGGTAATTTCAGATAAAAAAATGTGAATGTAATTTTATTAACGATCTGAATGTACTGGATGATTTATGTCAAGATAATGTTCTCAATATATTATCTAAGTGGAATTGCAGTTGTGGTAAAAAGGTAATATTTCATATATTTTTATATCTTTTATATAGATGAAAGCAGTATGATGAAATGAAGAAAAATTTGTTTTCTAGGTTATTTCTTCACAAACTTCTACTACTGAATTCTTGCCGACGTCTTCGGAAATGATATCTACTGACGATAGCAAATTGGACATAACACCTTATCCTTTACCTTTGTATAAAGTAAAATCGATTATTAGTAAGTAAATGAAATTTATTTTCAAGTGAAATATTTAGTAAATGTGTAATGATCAATTATACTCGTAAATGTACATAAACAGCTTTAAAAAAGGTATTAAATATTATGAAAATTGGGAGGCCATGATTTATTTTATACTAGTCACATGGTAGTGTCACAGTTTAAAGAACTACTGTCTTTAAAGTGTGACAGAGTTCGCTAAGTCCGGAAGTTGATTTCCTGATTCTTCCTTTTTCGACTCACTTATAAAAATCTAGTCCAATTTTAGGTAACTTAAATATTTGAAATTGGTAATTAAGGTAGATTATGAGGCAAATACTAAGGAAAAGATCTGAAAAGCATTAATTAATTAATTATCGGTATTCGCAGTACAGTGTGATACGTGTTCACATTAGGGCGATTAGTTTCAAGTATTCTTGAATTATTTTGAAATATACTTAAATTAGACATAGCACTTCCAAAAATGTTGTACATCCTACATATTCAACTTCTATTAAGATTGGCACCCGTTCAGATCTTAACTTTTTTATCGATAAAGCCAATCAACCAACGTACGTCATCTGTGCTGAACCTTTTCACATTTATGCTTTTGGTGTTTATCCAACTAACATTTTATTACAATTCGAACTATGGAGAAGGCTATGCTCGGGATTTCTCTGCGTGATAAACTTAGAAATGAGAATATCTGCAGTATCAGAATCAGAATCAGAGTAACCGACATAGCCCAACGGATTAGTAATCTGAAGTGGCAATCGGCAGTCTATATAGCTCGAAGAACCAACAACCGATGAGGGAAAAAAAGGTTCTGAGTTCCGAGTGGCTGCCTCGTACCGGTAGGTGAAGTGTAGGGTGACCACCCACTAGATGGAGTGACGACCTGATGAGACATGCATGAAGTCGACGGATGCAGGTGGCTCAGGACCATTCTTTGTGTCATTCCTTGGGGGAGGGCTATGTTCAGAAGTGGACTTGTGAAAGGTTGTAATAATGATGATGACGACATGGAAGATACATTAATATTTTAACAATATTATGTCATTCGTGTGAGACTGCTGCCCATGTAGGTTCAAAGGCCCGTACGGTCACTAGCCTCCCCTCCCCTTCTGAATTTACTTGATACTGAGTACATTATACAGAGATGAAATATATTATAAAAGCTAAAAAAAGCTACAGCCTATATACGTCCCACTTGCTGGGGCACAGGCCTTCTCTCATTTCTGAGAGGGTTTTAGGGCAAGGAAGTGTCCGCCGCGCAGCCCCAATGCTTGTTGGCGAACTTCACATGTGTTCGAAATAATTTTTTTAATTCCTCAGACATGCAGGTTTCCTCACGATGTTTTCCTTCACCGCCAAGCACGTGGTAAATCAGCACTTAAAATTGCAATTAACAATTTCATTGGTGCCGGCGGGGATCGAACCCGGGTCAATCGCGTTCCGTTATATTTACAGCGAGCGTTAGCCATCTGAGCTACCACGGCTCTAAATATGTTATGGTTAGAAATTATATTATATAGAGCAAATTAAACGTAGCCTACTTTAGAGTTTATTACTTAAAGGTCCTATGGGCTACAGTTGCCACATACTATTTGGTGGGCAGTTTTCTCGTCACTCTAATATAAGTAAAAAACCAAACTCTACTATTGTAATACCAACGCTATTGACTTCACTAGAGTTGGAATGTGACGTAACCACCAGGCTTTGCAGAAATAACGTCCCTACATCATTTCTTTATTTTACTTTGACACTAACTTTACTTTACTTTACTTTGACACTAACTAGTAAAAACGAAGTGTCTGAAAAAGAATACGTTTAGCTTTTCTAGATATTTAAATTATATATTTTTATTACAATATTTTTTAGATCGAGAAGAACGTATAATCTTACAAACAGGAGATTTAGTACGGTGTAAATATACATTTAGTCCGAAAGTTGAAGGAAAGTTCAATGTGAAACGATTCGTTCAAGTCAACGGTTGGCCGGCGTCACAGGTGGTTGTCAACGTTACTGGAATTTGCGACTTACCAAGGTAAGTCTATGTCGCATTTGATAGGTAGATAAAAAATTTGAATTTTCCTATCGTCAAATATTCGACGAATCAAGGCACTCATACAGTACAATCATCGTCCTTAAGAGATTGCTCTTCGTCCTTAAAATATCGTTTTCTATTGCTGTGAACTGGCTTGTCCAACTTGTATTCATCTCGGCTGACCGCTGCGCTAAGGCAGACTTCTGACACGTGCTCCGGTCTATCGTTCTTTCTGACATCACTTGTAACTGCATTGTATGGCTTGTATGGCATGCATGACACACCGGCCTTACGGACACATCGTCATTCGAGGTCACACTGGCATATACCTAATTAGCGCTGGCGTCACTTTACGCTTGTCTCCGTTTTTGGGATGTATATATATTTTTTATAAATTGTTTACTTTAAATAGGTTTATGTACTATATATATATATATATATATATATATATATATATATATATATATATATATATATATATATATATATATATATGTACAAAAAGAGGGTTTTTAATGCAGAATAATAATAATGTATTTCAGTTTTTCAAATTCTATGTTATGTAATCATTTTAAGATCGGTATAGACGTTGGCAAGATTTAGCCTTCCGTGTAACGGACTTATTATTTCATGTTTGTAAATTAAAATGCCAATGAACTGCTCACGTATGTCACAGAAGTGTCAACCGTTGGAATAGGCTTATTATGGAGTGGAGACAGTGCCTGTAAAACTTAATGCATCCCGCATTAGGTACGTTTGTCTAGCCCGACGATCTGGGCTAGTAGCATCTGGATGTGGCAAAGAAAAAAATGAAGGCAAAGACCAAGTGGCTCACCTTAAAATAGGACCATGTTCTGCAGTGCACTGCCGTAGTTTCTATCACCATGCTATATTATATAGGACAGTCAGTCCGAGATTGCTTCTGGGACTCAATTTCCTTTACCAACAAAACTTTTTGAAACACTGAGGATGTGTGGTTGGTGAAAGTATATGATATTTTATATTTAATAAATATATTTTTATTGATAACTATGATCCGCCTCGGCTCCGCACGGGTGATTTCTGGATCTCGATAACAGCGCCACCTACCAGGTTCAATTCTGAATCTGAACCATCCAGGGAACTGTCCATCTGAACAATCTGTCAATCGTAACCATCTCTCAAACGCACACAAAAAATTATCAAAATCGTTCGAGCCGTTTTCGAGTTTTAGCGAGATTAACGGACTGCAATTGATTTTTATATATAGAGATACCTTTAAAATACTATATTATATTTAAAACATCTAGAATGTTCGAGTAGAATATCGAAAGTTCTAGTAAAGAATCCTCCAGAAAGCCCTCGCCACTCGACACTAGATGGCACTTGTGGGAAAGTTCTAGAAATATCTTGACGCTCCTATTTCTGCTACTTGAAACTAGATAGCGCTAATAATCACCTGCCATATACCGGGTATTAGTTATGGCGTGCAACAATATGTTGCAATAAAATCTAAATGCTATCATATTTACACGCATGAAGGACTGGATTATCTCGGAAAGACTCAGAACTTTAGGTCTTTAAAATAGTTTCCTAGGCAACAATTATTGGCAATTGAGTTTAATGGTTAACTGAAAAATTAATAACAATACCTAATATAAATTGTAGATTAGACAATCGTCCGAAAAAAATGTTTAAAAATTTTGTTAGAAGACAAATCGAAGACAATGTGTACAAAGGAACGTATTTGGATGATGTCAAAGTATTTCAATTTGGTCCAATTTTCATTGGCAATAATCGGTAAGCTATTACTTACTATACCAACCATCGATATAAATGGCAATATATGGTCATGCGAACAAGTTTTTCATGGTTTAAACGTAGAATAAATCAGCGCCATCTCTTAAATACTCATGAATTACCACGGAACCAGTTTTACCACTTATGATTTTGGTTTTACCCTAGAACCTGTAGAAATACTCCCTAAATTATCGTAAAAAATGTAAATGCCCTTATTTTTTGTATCTTATTTTGAATATTTTAAAGAACATCGTTTTAAGTTTTGAATATCAAATATCAGTTCACGATTAAAACTCTTGAGTTTTGTGATGAAGACGTTCTCATTTTCAAATTATAACTATAGACACAGTGCACTTAGTTTCATAGGAATAATGAATATGTAACTAAGTAAAATATTATACCATTATTCCGATATACAGAATGAAAAACTTTTTCATTCTACACTTTCCTAGATGTTTTGATCATATACATTCTATAAATCTTAAAAAAATACATTGGCTTGGGTGGGTATAGAAAACAGGCTTAACTGAAGTTCGATTTCACCCCAAATTGTCTAAAACCCTTTTAACTTAAAGAAACGCCTAAAGCCCTACCTATATTAGCCTAAAATAGTGCAAAATATCTAAAAGTGGAAACACTGCACGGATGCACGGCACGCATATGAGCTCGCGTTGGTGCTCCATAAACATTTTCGCACCAATGATTCCTTTGGTACCATTTTGTTTGTTTAATGACCCAGTCCATACGCAGTAGTATAATAAGTCTAAAATACCAACACAAAAAATAATCAAATACAGCACTAAACTTACGACCATGGTACAAAACAAAACTAACAAATTTATCCTTTTTATTATTTTTATATTTGAATAATATTACACACTAATAACTTATTTATGTTTATTATGAAAAGTAAAATCAAAATGTAGCTTGAGTTCTACGTGTAGTACAGAAATGTTTCTTTCCATATATTAATTAGGTCTTTTAAAACTGGAAAAAGTTACAGATTTAATACATCGGGTATACTGTGGATGAATATATTACGAGGGTGGATTGAAAAGTACTCGGCCTAACCAAGAAAATAAACACAGACTAAATCAGTTATATTTTTATTTTTCTACATAATCACCAGCAAGTTCAATACACTTTTGCCACCTCCCCTTCCAAGCATTTAGACCGTTGAAAAAAAATGATTCTTCCTTAGAGTCAAAATATGCGTCTACAGCTGCTTTGACCTCGTCGTTTGTCGAAAATCTTTGACCTCCCAAGTGCTTTTTTAAGTTAGGGAACAGAAAGAAGTCTGATGGTGCCAGATCAGGTGAATACGGCGGATGCGGTAACAGTTCAAAGCCACAGTTGTGAATTTCAGTCATTGACTGTACTGACGTGTGAACACGGGCGTTATCTTGATGAAACAGGACTTTTCTTCTGAGCATTCCTCGACGTTTTTCTTTTATTTCCTCTCGTAAACGACGTAGTAAGGTGCAGTAGTAATCAGAGTTTATAGTCTGACCCCTTTCAAGATAATCAATCATAATCACACCTTTCGAGTCCCAGAATACTGAAGCCATCACCTTATTTGCCGACAAAATCGACTTATCCTTTTTTAGGGGGTGGTGAACCAGGTCTTCTCCACTGTTTTGATTGTTGTTTTGTTTCCGGTGTACAGTAATGAACCCATGTTTCGTCCATAGTAACAAAACGATTCAAAAAATCATCTGCATCGGCTTCAAATAACTCCAAACAGTCGCGTGAAATAGTCAATCGCGTCCTTTTTTGTTCAACTGAAAGCAGTCGCGGAACCCACCTCGCAGACACCTTGTGGAAACCCAACTCGTTGACAATGATGTTTTGAGTTCGTTCATAAGAGATGCCTATAATCTCGGCTATCTCTCTAATTTTTAATCTGCGGTCTCCCATTATTAAATCAAGTACTTTTTTAATATTTTCGTCAGTAGTTGACGTCGAAGGCCTTCCAGAGCGGGGTTCATCTTTCACACTCTCTCTACCACGCTTAAATTCTGCTATCCATTTTTTGACGGATGAATATGATAGAGCACAATCGCCTAATGTACTGACCATGTCATCATGGATGGCTTTTGATGATAGCCCCTTCTTATGGAGGTACTTAATGACGGCACGCTGCTCGATTTGCTCCATTCGCGGAAATTATGTCCGATTACTTTGTTAATAAATTTATAAAATCACAACTAATTATCGCACACGTTTCGAACTTCACACAATGAACTAGTCTGAACTGAACTAAATAATGTGGGTAGATTTGATTTTTAGAATTGAATGGATCTGTGTTAGGCCGAGTACTTTTCAATCCACCCTCGTATATTATTTTACTACAATATTATTTTTATTTACTGATTTAGAAAATATGAAGAAAAGTACGTCGTTGATTTAAAGAATGCTTCGTTAATCACGACAGATGTTGATATCGAATTTTTACATGAGTCTGAAGTATTTCGTATTGATAAGAAGAATATAAAGTTAGAGGTAAGTTCTAATAACAAATAAAACACATATACAATTCTCGATCTAGCTTTATAGTGTTCTAATACGCCGTATCGGTTTATCAGATTTTTGTTATACAGGTTGTTAGTGTAAACACCGTTATCCTTGAAACCAGTGGTTTGGTTTCGCTTATAGAACGTAAATTCTATGAAAAATAACAAATGTTTTTAGTAAAATCTCAAATTTTCCTTAATTCCTCAATTTTTGCCTGTCCTAAGCCAGGATGAAAGTATGAAGGAAAATTTACATCACAGGTTATGTGTACCTATTGTGTTTTTATTGGAATGTTGTGTAGGTAAGTAGCGCGGGCGGTGATCTTTACAGTGATTACGTCACTCGGGCGCATAGGGTATCCATGAATTTACGGACGGTGTCGGACAGAAACTTTTAAGTTTTATGAAAGAAAATAGCGTTTTTTTTATTCGGATAAATATTTTTATATTAAAGTCAACTACCTATGGTTTTAGTGACAACGGTGTTTACACTTACACCTTGTATACTGTACATACTCCTAGTCTTTTGCTTTTCAAAGGATATGGTTAGGTAGTCTACATAGATATTAGGTATTTCGAAGTACAAATATTGTTTTAGATAATTTCAAAGAGCTATGGAAGTAAAAGTATACATTAAGTTTCAAAGTCTCAATTCAACAGGGCAATTTCAACATTTACTTTCAACGTGTAATTTCACTAATAAATAATAATAATTAATTTCACTATAAAATCAAAAGAAATTGGATATCGATCTGTTAAGGTTTATTACTTTAGTATTAGCAATTATCAATGTCCATTAGATATCAGATAGTCAGCACCACTAAAACTTCAGCGCCATTTTAACTTGGTACTTGCTGATAGTGATGATTACATTTGTTCGGTGTTGAAAAAGAAACATCGTAAGGAAATTTCGAAATGTAAAAGTTATTCGCAGAATTGTGAAGTTGAAATGTTGGCAATTTCGTAGCGCAGCATTTCGTGTCCCCCTATAGCCATTTCAAATATATTAGATGAACCATGCACTACACTGGGTAAGTATGCTTAAGTAAGTTGTAATTTTATTTTTATAATAGAATTATTAAATTTTCCAAATATCTCAGATTAATTTCTCGATTGAATTATAAATTACCTAAAGCAATATAAATAGTACTGAAGAAACATTTACTTTTTTTTGCAGCCGGAATGTCGCGGGAAGCTAATAGTATCTGCTGCTCCAGCAGTAATTGGAGAGCATAAAAATGTTCTGCTATTTTGTATTAAAAATAATCCAGAGATAGTCGAAGTGAACATTGCTTGTAGTGGAGTTGTGCCAATAGTAGAAATATTACCGTCGACTAAAGTCATAGGTAACGAACACATTCTTGTTTTATGAGTGTTGTCTAGTGTTTTGGTTCCATTTAACTCAATACTTTAATTTTGGCATATGTAACAATAAAACCTTTCTAGAATAAAGATTTAGTTAAAGTGAATAAGAATGAGATTTGATGAATCTTTATATCGGAAAATATCTTGAGTGGTGGCATGTCTAAAAAATTTAAAATAAATATTTTGAAAATGCTTCTTGGGAAATCAAGACGTATTGGGGCAGCGCGAACAGATCTCTCATTTGTGAGAGGAGGTCTGTCCACAACAGTGGGACGTATATAGGATGTAACTTCACTTTCTTTATTCTAATCTTCATCTAGTCGAAAGCCCCAATCATCATCACAATTACAGCCTATCACAAATCTACAGCTGAACACAGACCATTCCAATAGAATACCACAAAGCGCATGTTTCTTTAGATCATCACTAAATTTTGTAGAGTCTGCCATTCGAGAACGAGTTAACTGATCTGTTGGACTACGTGGGGTACAACTGAAAGTTTTAATAAGTAAACTATTATACTGACTTTCTTTCTCCATAATAAACGGTTGGAAACAATAAAAGGGTATCGTTTTTAATAATTTTTAAGTCCCAATTAATGCCTATTGGTAAAACAGCCAAATAAGTCTAAAGGATCTAAATTTATAATTCACAAGATCTTGACTTGAATTCTTCCGACTTGTTAATGCTTTCTAAGCAAATAATTAAGACTTGAAAAAGAATTTAAAAAAAACTTTTTTTTATTTTTAGATTATGGCAAACATCTTCTTTATCGGCGTGAGGATGACAGATTTATTGTCAAAAACGATTCCATTTTGCCAATTATGTGGAAAATTAGAAACGCGAATGAATTTCTAGAAAACTTCATAATATCCCAGACATCTGGTGTAATACCAAGGCATCGGAATCATGTGGTTCCTGTAACGTACTTAGCCTGCAAAGTAGAAATTATATCAAATAAAATATTGTTAATCGATGTAAGTATTTTTAACAAGTGGAATTATACTATTATAAGTATTTCTAGCTCTGAGACCGAAAGGTTGCATTGATAAACGGTGTTTTTTTTAATAATTGCTTTCAGATTTACGATTCAGAGGGCAGAGGAGATCCAATGATAGTTGATTCGCTGTATCTTTCTGCCGAATGTTATGATGTTATGGTAGAATGTGCTTATGAAAACATGGATGAAAATTTACTTAACTTCGGAAATGTTAAAGTCAATTTAACAGTTGCACGTCAGATGTATCTATTCAATCGTGGAAAATATAACATTTATTACAAGTAAGTGCTTGGTAGTGGATGTGTAAGAATATCCGCTACCCCATATCGTACCATGGGTATCGTAAGAGACGAAGGAAGGAAATGAATCAGAAGATTGCAGCAGCATCTTCCTGACCATAATTCAAAATAACGCACACTAAGTGAGGCAACTACAGCTGCAGCATCCCCAGTCTGAGGCAATCTATGGTGGAGGCTTATGTTTAGTCACAGAATACATAATACTACGTACAGAACGGCCCCTCACCTCCCCGCACTCATTTCAAATACCGCGTCACACTCCGCACTTCGTTGTAGACAACAGTGACACTTAAACGAGGGCGCGTGTGATCGGACGAACCTGACGCGAACACACGATTTTACAATTTAAATAATAGGTACCTACCTATAATTGCGTTTTCATTACGATGGTTGTATATTGTGCTGCAATTGTATGCTTCTCTACTTCAAGGAATGATAAAGACAGTAGTTTCTTTCGGTTCCTATTATATCTTAATATATATAAATTACGTGTCACGTTGTTTGTCCGCGATGGTCTCCTAAACTACTTAACCGACTTTAATCAAATTTACACACTTACACACCGTGTGCAGTTTGGTCCAACTTGAGAGATAGGATAGTTTTTTTGCCCATGAGTGACCCACAATTGTTTTTTTGCGAATTTAATGATTTTAATAGGACATGACAAAGGGTCATCGAAAAAGGCAAAACAACGTCTGCCTGGCAAGCTAGTATTTTATACTCGTATATTATTAGGAAATATATAATAATAAAACTATGAATTATATTCCTATTATATATTATTCATAGTTTTATTATTAATATTATTACTCATCCACGATATCATTAAGCTTAGAACTTCATCGTTCTACCATAAATACGTAACTACTTACAATTAATATGTGCGTTACGATACGATCATTTAAGCCGACGTTGAAGCCGCCGCACTTTCCTACTAAATTTCACGCACACATTTGCGCGTGTACAAACGTCATTTGCCTATGTAGTAGAAATAGGTAATTAATTTGCGAGCGTCATATGGAGTGTGTGGAGTGTGATTTAGTATTAAACTTATGATAGGTTGTAATGGTAAATGCTTGGTAACTCTTGCTTATTTCTGCTTAGCGGGGGCGTTCAATTAAAAGTGAGTGTGTGATGTATACTGCTGCTAATAAATGTTATTTTATTTTTCAACATAGTCACTCCCAAGAGTAATGCACTTGGAATGTCTTTTTACTAACCCGAAAAATTCTCTGCCTAAAAACTTCATCTTGAGCAAATAAAAATTCTTACGCTAGAGCGACTACTGCTTCATCTTCAAAATTCTATTTTTACAGATACTCCTTAAATTTCGTAAATAAATAGTAGTCACTAGGTACAAGCTCTGGTGAATACGGAGAATGTTCTAGTTAGGTATTTAAACAAGGAATATTGCATTCCGTGAATTTAAAGTCAGTATCTCGAATTGAAGTCATAGCAACGACGGACACGTGAGCGCAGATATTTAAGCAAATTTATTTCGCAGCAGCTTGCTCTGCTGTGTTCCGGTTTTAAGGGTAAAAAAGCGAGTATAATTAATTACTGGCTGTGATGTATGTCATCTCAGTCAGTGACAACGCATTTGTAGCTTTCATTTTTAGAAGTATTAGGTGTTCGTCACCTACAATACGGTGGACGGGAAAGTCGTTTGTTACATCAGTTTCATACAAGAAAACGATCTTTGCGAGTTTGTCTCGCCGTTTCTTGCAGATTTCGTTGCGCATTTATATCCGTTCTCCACACAACGTACTCGTTGTACTATATGATCGAAATATTCAATTATTACTAACCGTTGACTGTCTCAGTACCAAAAAAGCTCATGACTTTACCTGCGGAGGGGCTCACCTTGAAATTCTTAGGAGTTGGATACGATGGTCTTTTCCAAACCATTGACCGTAGTCAAATAATGTTTCGTACACAGTTATAAATCGAGCCAAAATCTATCAGGTTTAAGTTACCACTAACTAAATATTGTGGCTTGATTTGGATTCAGTTGTAACTAAATTTGATATCTTTAGGTTTTGGCTCACTAACCGTCCCAACAATTATCATAAAGTGGTCAGTCTGGTTTGTTTCAACGCATCGGTAAGTATTTTGGGCGGATACTTTTTTCATCATCAAGCGCTCATGTAAAATGTCATATAAAGTACCTGTCAAAAACTTTGTTTCTTCAGCAATAAAACGTACCGTTTTTTAACAATTTATTCGATAACTGCTCTTGCGGCATATTCCGAGAGGGTCATTTTATGTTAATACACTTTTAAATTTAGCGTAGCAACGTGCAACTGTGGAATACGACGGAGCATTAACGCCTAATATCCTATCTCGTATATATTGATTAACTTCCGCAGTAAAGTTGAGCATAAAAATTTGAAAATAAAAAACAACATAACAATACAGTTAAATTATTTTTTATTTTTAGAAACATGCAACAACAAACTATATACGACGATATAAAGGAAAGATAGTTATTTTATAAGTATCCTATAAATGTTCCAGTTTTACCAGCCAATATTTACTTTTGTAAATACCGAAGACTTTGTACCGCATTCTTACTTATTTATTTAAACTTTTATGCACAAAAAATCGTACATATGGCGGACTTAATTCCTTAAGGCATTATCTCCTAGTCAACCAGGGTGAGCAGAGATAACTATAATATGTGAGATAGTGCAGCAAAAATAAATTAATAATGAGAAAAAAGGTAACGAAGTTCGAATAAACCATATATATATGACGATAGAATCATTCCTAAGGAAAAGGCGTTAAGTCACACTTGCAATGTTTTACTAAAATCTCCACGAACTTCGTTTTTAAAAGAAATTTGTTGGAAGCTTTTTTAATATCAAGAGGTATTTCGTTCCAGAGTCTTATAGCATTCTCACTTTTTTGAACGCCCTTCCCAGTTGTTCTCGTATATTGAATAACAATTATGTCTATATATTGTCACTGTATAAGAATTTCTGAATATTTAAAGGTTGAAAAAAGTGAAGAATTTCCCGGAGCCATCATTACTAAAATCTTTCGAAGTCACTCCAGAGTGTGGCGTGTTACCTGCAACAACAAAACTTGTTACCGTAGAATTTGAATGTATGCCCACTACTTCACTGAATTTGGTCAACGTGCCGGTGTATACCTGCTCTTTATTAGACGATAGCAGAAAACAGACGATTGTTGCGAAATTTCCTATTTGTGTGACAATAGCATCGTTTTATAACACGTATGTTAATTTATATACATAAAGGGTAAATAAGTGATAATCTTATTCACATATTTTTATTTCACGCTTTGCTTTAAAATTTACAGTTTTACACTTTTTCCTTTGGGCGAATTGAATTTTCATGTCATACCAGTAGGCGTAGGCGTTTTAAGAGAAGTTATTCTTAACAACACAAGCAAGTGCCCATTTACATATGAAATTATATTACCGTCTGAATATCAAGTAGGTCCTGATAATGTTCAATCTACTAAAGGAAAGGATAATAAGTATGTATTGTATACCTATAATATTAGTAGATACTAAGTTATGCATAACACTAGAAAATGATGTATTAATGTAAATACCTTTACTTTATTTGTTTAGAATAAAAAATCCTCCACTAAATTGCGGAAATTTTGTTATAATGAACGAAGACAACCTTCTAGCTCCTTTTACCAGCAGAACTATTCAAATACAATTTTTGGCAACGGCTGCAAAAACATTCGAAGAAACTATACATTTTGTTGTCAGCGATACTTGCCCTGCTGAAGCTAATGGTGTTCCACTTAAATTGGTTGGTACAGGAGCTATACCAACACTAGACTTTTGGAATCTGGAAACCACGTTTAGAGAACATTTAATTGTTAAAAATATGTCAGAATATAAAGTACCAGAGGTAATTTGGTTCTACTTAATTTTTATTATGAAATTATTATTAACAATACTTTAAATAGGTAAATATATTACAGCCTTCACCCCATTGTGTCTTTGTGGAAGACACAGTTACTCTTCACTTCTTTGGCGTAGTTGTAAACACCAATTATATTGGAGCTATTGATTTGTACAACAACGGCTTAGTACCATGCGCTTTAAAAATAAAATTGCATTACCAGGCAAATTCCAATCAAGAAATATTTTCCTTAGATAAATATGAGACACACATTGAACCATTGATGCACAAGAACTTAAATATAATTTTCAGTCCAAAAGCTTTAGAGGTAACGAACCCAATAAAAATATCCAATTAAAATATTCGTGAAATGTTTTGATGTAAACAGGATTTTTCATCTATATTTTAGGTATACAAAGCCGTTTTAGAAGTTAAATTGAAAAAAGTCGAAAGTGAAGAGCAATCTTTTAGAATATGTTTGATAGGTGAAGGGGTCATTCCCAGAATTCGCATAATATATCCACAAATCAAAAAAGATAAGCATACTTTACTAGAATTTCCAGTAACTTGTTTGGGTTCTATTACTAACAGACAAATATCTTTCAAAAGTATAAGTTCTATTAACGTTATGGTTATAGTGGATATTATTCCATCGGTTAAAGCAGATAGACCGTTATTTTGGCTGACAGCTGAACCTGATACGGACCACATAGTTTTGAACGGAAATAATGGTAAAATTATTTTACTTACTTAATATGTATTTAATGTTTTAAATTATATTTACTCTACAAATATGTTGCAGATAATGTAAATATCACACTAAAAGTGACCATGAAGCCTAGTGAATTAGTGACGCTAACTGTTCATTACAGTCCATTAGAAAAAGGCAAAACAAACTGTGAGATCAAACTTACAGTTGTTAATAATCCTTTCGAAAATTATACGGTAATATTTTTAAGCGTAACCGAATAAAAACATTACAATAACTTTGTAACAACTCTCAACTATTTTAATAAATATCTTAATAAACTACATTTTATTAACTAATATTATTTTATTAGAATAAATTACAGTATACTATTAATTATAGTATTACGTAACATTAAATAAAAATAATAATTAAAATTATAATATTTACAATTAATACTAATTATACACAATATAAAAAAGAAACTATAATATAGAAAAACTAACACTAAAAATTTAGATTGTCAAAAAGTCTTGCTCCCCGTGGTATAGTGCAAGGAACGCTAGCTGCGTTTCCTCGCTGAATAGCTATACTAATATTATTTTCATTCTTTAAGATATTGTGTAATGCGGAAGCTTTTATGGAAGATGTTATCCTAGTGGGGCTAGAAATGCTTTCGATGGACGTTGATTTGGAAACATATAAAATGCCCGCAGAACGGTAATTAAATTTTAATAATAACCAAAATTATATAAGATAATAGGTTTTTAAACTAAAACATAATCACGACCTATCACGAGTTCAATACTATACTACCACATAAATTATCAATCTATCTACTTCAGCTCAGTGACCCATTGAGTTATATCAGCTATCCCCTGTGCAATAAACCTATCTATATATTTAATGTCCTCTACGGATTTCAACACGAAGCAAGCCCAAACTAACTCTCAAAGCTCAAGGTAAACTCTCCATAGTTTGGTGATTGACTGAACTTCTTCATACGGCCTGAAATTTGATCGTATTGTCCGCACAATTTAAGGCACATTAAGGCATACTTATTGACGATAGTGATGTAATGGTAGATAAATAGATAGTTTGAGGTCCTCCAGTGATTCTATCATATTTTTAACTATAACGCCAGCACATCGAAGGAGAGCGATGTATTGCCCATTGGTGTTTAAACCGTATTTTACCGGTCCAATCCAGTAGCTTTAAAACGTCTCCCACTGAAAAATATCAGAGAAATAAAGTCACCCTGTTCTTTAACTTTCATCAATTTTTACACTTCGTACACCGTAGCGTTATTTTAAAACACATCAGCAGGTTAATATACCGACACATCAATCTAGCACCCCTAATCTAAGACATATAGATAGATAGTCTATTAGATAGTCCTCTCTTTTTTATAGTCTGCTTTTTTTTGACATGACAACGTCTAATAAAATAAATCGATGAACGCTTGCTGCATGCACTAAAAAAGATGACTCATTGTCCCGTTACGCTCCAGCTGAGCCGAGCACGATCGGAGTGAGAGCGTGGCACGACGAGCGAAAGGCACGATCGGCTTGAGCGTTCGGCTTGCGCCGCATGAATAAGTATGCAATCACTTCATTAATGTTTTGTTACGATGTTGTCACGTTGAAATATCGTCTGTAAACCGACTTTACAGCCAACCATTTTTTTATGAATTCGAAGTAAATAACAAACTGGCAGTTCACCTGATGGTAAGTGGTGGCTTCAGCCCATGGACTGATTTCAAATAAAGAAGGCTACAGATGCGTTGTCACCTCTGCCTCACAGCATGTAATTACACTGGTTCTTTATATCCTTCAGACCGGAACACAACAGTGCACGTACTACTATTTGGCGGCAAAATAGGTAAAACGTTGGTACGTACCCAGACGGACTGAGAAAGGGCGGGATTTAATCTCTAACAGTTTTGTTGATTAAACTTTCACACATAAATATTATGATGACAATGGTTTTTTGAGTAATATAAGTCGTGATGACGAGATGATTTCGAGAATCTTAAATCAATACGGTAAAGTGAAATATCATGTTAAAGAACTGAATAACAATATGTTTCAATACTATGTAAATTTATACAAAACTGTAGAAAAGGTAAATAGTTATAATAACTTGAACTTGGACTATAATGTCTTCGAACAAAATCTTTTATCCTCTATACAAAAAAATAAAATTACAAAAACGCAAAAGAATACTCTGCCGTAAAAAGACTGGAAAAAGGACAAAATGATATTGTTAAAGCAATATAAAAAAGAAATACGTTATGGATAAAATTCATTAGAAATCCCTTAAACAAAGAAATAGACGAGGAATTTTTAAAAGAAAAACAAAATTTAATACGCTTTATACAAAAAACAAAAAATCAGTACTACTACAAATTATTTATAAATTGCGAAAACAAATCAGCAAAAATATGGACCTTAAAATAAATACACTTTCGTAGAACAAAATAAAGGAAACTACGTCTCCAGCTAAACTTCAGACAGAAACTGCCATTCTGACAGATCCTTTAGAAATATGTGAACATTTTAACCAGTACTTGTCAACCATCAGTAAATCCGTGGAAAGTGAAATACCGTCTTCTTTTCATCATAATAATATCTTCACTGCTGATAAACACAACATGCTATCGAAAGACCAAATGTTGTCACAACTGATCCCACTACAGAGGAAGTCCTCAAAATCATCAACACGATAAGTCTTAACACAGCTTCAGGTATAGATAGAATCAATACTAAATCTGTCCAGTGTGTTAAAAACCTAATTGCCCCAGCACTTACAAAATGTATAAATAAATGTCTGCAATCAGGTATCTTCCCATGTAGTCTGAAAATAGCCGAAGTCACTCCAATCTTTCAATCTGAAAATAGATCCAACCCTAGTAATTATCGACCTATATCAGTTCTACCCGTGATCTCAAAGTTATTTGCAAAAATCTTATAAAACCGTCTTCAAACATTTTTAAAATCAAACAATTTCTTATATGACAAACAGTATGGCTTTAGGCGAAAATCAAACACTCTATCAGCAACTATAGACCTTGCTACAAAAATAAAACTTAATATTAATCAAAAACATATCGCATTAGGCATATTTATAGATCTAAAAAAGGCTTTTGATACTGTTAGTCATGATTTACTCCTTAAGAAGTTAAAACATATTGGTATCATAAGTGTAGCTAAATTTGTTAAATTTTTACTTAACAAATCGCTAGCAAGTAGTCAGAATAGACAATTTTTAAAGTAAATCTAAAACTGTGACATACGGTGTGCCACAAGGATCCACACTAGGGCCGTTATTACTCTTAATTTATATGAATAACTTAAAAGATATTGGTCTAAAAGGAGACATAACGTTGTATGCTGCCGACACAAGCCTATTCTATTTCGGCCACTCAATAAATGCTATTATCTCTGACGCGCAAAATGACCTTAATTTAATACATAAATGGTTCCAGTACAATCTTCTAAGAATAATCATCTCCAAAACTAATTATGTCATATTCAAAGCAAAAACTAAGAAAATATTAGATTTTGAGCCTCTAAAAATAAATTATCAAACGGTCCAATTGCGAAAAATACCTTGGCTTATTTTTAAATGATAAACTTACATGGAAACCTCATATAGATAAAATTAAATCCAAACTATCATCGATAACGGGTACCCTTCGAAGTATAGCTCGGTGTTTCCCGCGTAAAATACATTATCTTATTTACAATTCCCTATTCAAACCACACATCGATTATCTGATAGAAATATGGGGCTCAGCTGCAAAGAATAACTTAAACCCACTACAAAGAGCTCCAAATAAAGTTATAAAGGTTCTATTCAACTATAACTATCTGACACCAACTCACAAAATATATAATGATACTAAGCTGTTAAATATAAATCAATCGTACGTTTACCATACATGCATTCTGATTCGTAAAATAATAAATAAAGATATAAACACTTATTTAAGTTTCACTAAAAAGAGACAAATTCAAAAAATCAGCTAATCAAGACAAATTCAAAAAAAATCAATAAGTATTTTAAATGTATTTAAAAATGTGCAAATAAGGTATAAAGTTTTTTTTAGTGTTCATTACTAATTCGAATTAGAATAATATAATACTAAATATATATCTCAAGCCGCTTCTTGTAACTGGTTGAGCGTAATTCAACTTTATATCTGTGATTGTACTCTCTCTGCAGCTGTGACAGTTTTTAAGTGTATTTGTAATGTACCCCAACTTCAACAGCAACTTCGGCGCTTCTCCAGATATTGTTGTAACTTATAAATTTTTATGTTGTCATGATAAGTGAATTTTTGTATTCTTAATGAGAACAAAGTTCTTAAACCATAAACCATTACCTACGTTAACCACGTGGTTTTGTGCAAACTCCTCTAAGAAACCGAAATACTAACATCTTGATTTTTTTTGAAGTAAGAATTACAAACGAAAACTTGATGGCAAGAGAGTGATGTGGTTCACGAACAATTACATTTTGTGTCGATTAAGAATCAAAATGCAGCTGGAAGTACCTTCACCTTAGTCAAAAGAGACATCATAATTATAGTATTCTTTGTATTTTATATGTACATAATATAGTATTCTTTCTAAAGGAGAGGTTAAAAATCACATTTTCAAAATATACATAGGACACTCAATAAGTTTTGAGATATACAAAAAGCATTCTAGACACTATAAGTATTTATTTTACACCTTTTCAAAATATTCTACATCATGCTCTATACAAAGTTACATTCGCCTAAACTAACTCCGAAAACACTTTCACCAGTCTTGATCTGACAGATCGGGAATCGCTTCTTCGTAGGCAGCCACGGCTTCTTCGGCGCTTGAAAAAAACTGGCCTTTTATTTTTTCTTTGACTCTTGGGAACAAAAGAAAATCACAAGGAGCTAAGTCAGGGCTGTAGGGTGGGTGACTTAGAGTTTCAATACCAGACTCCTCAATAAATGCTTTTGTTCTAAGGGAGGTACGTGAAGAGGCGTTATCGTGATGCAGCATGATTCCCCGTAGCCCGGTCTTCGGTCTTCTCTCCCGCATAGCTTGAAAAGCTTTGGGTAATGCAACTGTAGTATACCATTAAGAGTTCACTGACCTACAATTTTCCAGTATTGACGTCGACAAATGTCCGCTACGCGAAAAAAAAGCTAGCCACCATTTATTTACCGACGTTGTGAAGTCTTTGCAGTTTTGTCGGTAACTGTCCTTTTGAGTAGACCCATATCGATGATTGCCTTTTATTTTCCGGATCATATTGATAGATCCATGTCTCGTTATCAGTATCGATTTCTGAAACACGCCTAGATGCACCGTTTTCAAAACATAGATGCATTTCATGGCACAAATCCACACGAGTCTGTTTTTCGCTTTCGGAGAGCAAACGAGGGATCCATCGACAACAAAGCTTTCTCTCTCCAAGATATTGATGTAAGATGGTATGAATGCTCCCCGAACTAATGCCTACAATCTTTTCGATGTTCGTATATGTGATCCGTGGGTCTTCTCGTACCAACATTTCAGTAGTCCATACATTTTCTGCCGTTACTGCTGTTTGCGGGGCCCCGGTTCTGTGGTCATCCTTAAGGTTAATTTTACCCCTTTTAAATTCAGAAAACTATTCAAAAATTGTTGCGCGTGATGGAGCTGAGTCCCCTAATGCTAGTTGTAACCGTTGTAAATTTAATTGTTCGGTTAGACCAAATTTAAAATCATAATAGATTATAGCACGCAAATGTTCATGGTTAAGATCCAGCGTTGTAATAAAAAGCGCGGGAAGCGTTGCAGGAAAATTAATATAAGTTTTTTTTTGTAAATTGTGGCTTAGAGTTCTATTTTTGAATAAATTTGCTTTTTAGAAACATACAACACGGGTGCGTTCCATTTTTAAATTTCGAGCATCTCAAAACTTATTGAGTGACAGCGTAGCTCTTATAGGTATAAAACTTGGCCAGAATACTCTTTTTGTATGTGTTTAAATGGGTCCCTAAATAGTTTGGTTTCACGATTGGAGCCGGTAGGTGGCGCTGTTATTGATATCTAGAAATCACCGTGTGAAGCCGCGGCAGATCGCTAGTCTTGTATAAAGAGTAGAATTGGTTGAGTGATTGTGCTTTTATGTTTGAACACTAGTGGTAATTCAATTCAATTCATTTGCTATTCTTGTTGTACATTTGGTCTTATATTAAAAAATGTTCAAAACAAGAACCCTGCAAGGGCACTGCAAATATAGGCAATTATTAATATTATTATTACATTCACATTATAGTATTATAAAATTATCATTTAATGAATATTTACAATTAACTTAAATATAAATTGGATCATATTATATTATTTATTTCTTTTAATTTCCTATTTCCTACTCAATCACTAAAAAACTCCTGCAACGAGTAATAACATTTTTTCGTTAAATATGTATTAACTTCCTATTTAAATTTTTTTAATGCTTTTAATGCTTCTGATTTGTTCTGGAAGTTTGTTATATATTTTTATTGACATGCATAGGGACCGGTGTTTACGATGTGTAATTTTGATGTAACAGTGGATAATTTTATTTTTGGTCTTAAATTTTTAGGGCGAAAATATTGAGGGAACCAGTCGATATTATTTCTAACTAGTGAGCATATTTCGGATATATATAGGGATGTTAATGTCAGGATATTATAATTGATAAAGTAATTTCTACAACTTGTTATGGAGTCGATATTTGCAAGGGGCGTTTTTGGTATGGTCTAAATTGCAAAAGTTTAGTCTTTTTGAAATTAATCTCGAGGTTGTGATCTTGGAGCCAGCAATTTATAACATTTTGTGACTTATGGCGATGCATGTTCAAATAATTTTATATTATTTGTAGCCTGTGTATGTCTCATTTCATTACTGAGAGGGTATGGAGCAATTTGCCCAGTGTGTGTTGGTAGACAGCTACACAGCTATTAGAAATAGTGTAAGTTTTCTACCGATGCTTTTCTTAACTTCCAAGTACGTGGTGAATCAGCTCTTAAAATTAATAAGTAACAAGTTAATTAGTACCTGTGGAAATCGTAACCGTGTTGCCCGTGTAGTCTGATATTAAAGTCGATCGTTAACCCGCTGAGCTACTACGGCTTATTAAATTAATAGCTAGTAATAGTACTGTATTTGAAGGTAGTCATCACGATTTATATAATATTTTAACTTTAAGATGTCGCAAAAACGTGCTTAGTGCAAGCAACAATTAATTATATTATTTCAATTTAGTTCATTAGTAACCAACCAAAAGTCAGCGACAAGTTACATCGTTAAAGAAATTCTACATTATAATACCAGGTCTACAGCTTCTACAACTGATACCAGAAAGAAGAACAAGTCTGCACAATCCGATAAAAAGAAATTAAAAATCGTCGATTCTAAGAAAAGTAAAAGATTTTCACAAGCATCTATGAAACAAAGTGATACATCTTTCATGGATCAGGCACCAACTATTCTTAAATATTTATTAGATTTTGGTAAGGGTTATTTTTAATTTATAGATTACTCTAGGTATAATTTTAAACAAGTTCTTTAAAATATTTTTTGGGAATTTAGGCGGATGTGAACTATGCTTAATACAGAGAAGATCAGTAATCATGGTCAACAATTCTGAAAAGGTTTATAAATTTTCTTGGATAGAATCTGACAATATTATTGTTCGACCTTCTGCAGGTTACATTTCTCCAGGTGAAGAGAAAGACTTGGAAGTAATTTTTTATTCTGCAGAACCTGTTGATATTGAAAAGGTAATTCAAATATTAATAATTTTGTTGGTAAAGTCTTTCAAACGTTCGTTTTCTATAATTAATCAAAGAAGTGAAATGCTACTGATTTTATTTTTTAACATACATTTTAAACATACAGGAATTTGTAAGCTGTTTCTTGACTGTTGTTAGCGATAATTCCCTAACAGAAAATTCTAGAGAAATTACGTGGGATACTCGGCAAACTGTAACTTTATTTAATCGCAACAGGTATATTGTGTTGTATAGTTTAATAAGCTATTATTTATTTCATAAACATATTAACAGTACACTGTTTTATTTATAGAGATGTTAACCTTAACGAAAGATGTGATATTACGGTAGAAGATCAAATAATATCACCAAATAACGAACCATTTAATGAAAATATCTCCATTGTTATTATCTATTCAGTTAAAACGGAATATACTAAATATGAATGTGATTTAGAGGATGAAAAATTTTTACAAGATACTTTTATATATCAGGTTACTCTGTGTTTTTTTTTTAAATGGAAATTCATGAAAGTATTACGAATTTTTAACTGTTAATATAACGTACTTAATTTTGAAACAGACACGATGTTTTAATTTTGAAGTAAAAAACGTTGGAAGAGTACCCATGAAAATTACATGGAGTTTCGTTATTGACGATGAATTCCCTATTAGAATAACGAAATCCAAATTAAAGGAAGTATGTCATTCACGTTAATTTTAGAAATTTCGTAAACATAAATTAAGTTATTCTCTAACAATAATAAATTTTAGGATGCACAAAAAGTGACAGAGTCTTCGGAGAGTACCGATAACACAGCAAATGAAAGAGATTCCGAAATACTTGCAATTGAGAAAAATAATGAAAATTCAAACAGTGGTAAAAATAATTTAAACATGATTTTAGTAAATCACAAAAAAACTATTATTTTAAAAATGATAACTAAGCTAAGTAAGTAAGTGACTTAGCGGTCAGCCGCCGTAAAGTCTACATCACCTGAAGATGCCTCGTGTAGAGGCGAAACACGTATCGTATTGTCGTCAATGGTGTGTCTTTCCTGGATGAGTGGTAGTGGTGTTGGGAATAGTGGTGCTGGGATTAGTGGTGACGGGATTAGTGCACGCAATTGAAGGAGGGCGGGAGGTGGTCTTTAATCCAGGCAAGACACATCATTGTATTTTTATGCGGATGGTTGCGAATTAATTAATGTCTTTAATGTAATGGATTTCCGCAGAGTAACGCCTGATTCTATCAATTATATTAATCACTTTGTTTCATTCCGTGGGTGTTGTAAAATACAACTGTGGGTATACCACAAAACTCTTATGATTACCGATAAGTTTCGTTTACGTCAGACCTGCAACTAGCGATAGCGCTAAAATGCGAGACGTCTTACACTGCGATCAGTCGCTTGCCAAGCGTGACGATTGGGGTAAATTTTCCCTACAATGGAAGAAACCCATACCTATCCATCAGTGTATTTTATTTAATTATTAATTTTTGGTCCGATCTACGGAAAACAAGCTTACAGTATCCTAAAATTTTGCAGTAGTATACTTGGGTTTGAATTTTTTGAGAATTTTATTGATCATCTCCTCTATTGAAATTAGGATGTTTTTTTAATTTCAATAGCGTCGCAAAACATCGATTCGACAAAACGAGGATTTGTGGTCTATCAAATCTGATATCTTTACCTACTAGAGACTTCCCGGAGCGTCTATTCTTACGCGATAAAATACGATAAAATCCGTAAAATTAGTTCTGTTCGATATTTTATTAGTATTATTATACAATATATTAAATTATATTTTATTAGTATTATTATACAATATATTAAATTATATTTTACCAGATCCCAGCAAAATTACATTATTCAGTGAAAGTTTGAGCAGAGAAAGTGCAGACACTTGGTTCGAGATTGATTTGCCATTCCATATAGAGCCGAAGAAAGCATGCTTAAATCCTAACGAAAATAAAACTTTCAACGTAATATTTTCACCGCTTGACGCATTCTTATTCAAAGTACAGCTACAGAGTGCAATAGGTTAATAATATTAAAATATATTTAATATCATAAAAAAAGCGTTGAATGCTTTACCTATTCTAAATCACATACACATTATTTCAGATAATTTAGATCCTTATGATCAAAATATAACTTGCAAAATTACGGCAAAATCACTAATTCCTTATGTTCATTTGGACATAGAGGAGAGTGATTACCTGACGTCTGGTAGAAGAAAAGCGACTGAAGTAGCTTTGCCTGAGCTAACAACCGTGCTAGAATTTAAAGTGCTCGGCGCCGGATGTTATAAGAAGTAAACATTTATTTTTTAAACTCATTTATCTTTTTTAGAATGCTGTAGTGCCACTGTGGCATGGCTGATGCCACTACGAGTAAATCTTAATATATATAAATTACGTGTCATGTTGTTTATCCGCGATGGACTCCTATACTACTTAACCGATTTTAATCAAATTTGCACACCGTGTGAAGTTTGGTCCAACTTGAGAGATGTGAATTTAAATATTTTTAATAGGATATGACAAAAGATCGTCGAAGTGGGCAGAACAACGTCTGCCTGGCAAGCTAGTATTTTAATGTAATTTCAAGAAGTTACTTTGCACAATCATATTTCTGCCTCGTTCACACCTCAGTTTTTCAATCACAGGTAGTGATTTAAAAACTGAGGTAAATTAATTAAATATTTATGTAAAGCAGTGCGTTAGTTGCGAATGTGAGTACCAATACAAACCATTATTGGTTTAATGGTACAAATCAAGCAAATATGTAAGAATACTTTCGATAAATAAATTTAAAAAAAAGTTACGAGATGCACATGTTTATTTCTCTGTTTAATCAGGATTAATTAAGATCAAGTTAAACTACACACGATAATTTAAACTACAAACTGCAGTTTAAAATTAGTTATGCTAGAATATGGCTTTGGGGCGTATGAGTAACTTTACTTTTGCTTTAGCATTATCCATTCATTCTCATTATTCATAAAATTGTTTGCTTATTAAGCAACGGCTATGATATGAACCAATATTTAGTTCTGTTTTTTTTTTAATTTGTTGTTTCTTCGTTTTCACGAAAATGGTAAAAGTAATGTATTCTTCATATGAATCTATTGCAACTGAATTCAAAGATCATTGAAAAAATTCCCAGACGAAAAAAATTATTACACTTCGTACATTTTAAGCTACAGGTCACTTGACTGCGTTCAGTGTATATTTTTATTACACTCTAAGAAAACATTGGTTATCTTCAGTAGTGTGTGACGCCCCATAGTGGCACGATGGCACTACCGCAGCAGTTTCTTATCCGATCTAGCATAACATTTAAAAATATTTTTTCTATAACCAATATACAAGTATGCATTGTAGTTACTTTTACAAATAAAGATAAATTCAGAATCGATAAAGTATATATTTTACATAAAACATTATTTGTTATTATAATATTTGCAAATTTGAAAGAGCACTATCTAATCATTATGATGAATTATTTTGATTGTATGTGTTTGTTGTACTTTTAGATCATTTAACGTTATCAACCCAACGACTCAGTCATATGAATTTATATTTGAGGTGGTAATGACTGAAGAACAAGAGTTCGTTCCTGTGCATTGTAACAAGTTGAAAGGTTACGTGGAAGGCGGTACATCCACTGAAGTTGTTTTTACTTTTTCACCACCATCTCCTGGGGTTTGTTTTATATTAAATACCTATTTATATTTTATTTCATTTCTCCCTGGATTCCTGATAGAGAATGCCATATGGCATTCATTAATTTGGCTCTTTGTAATCCTTAATTGAAGGTGTTTGCAATAAGGAATAAACAATTATACCATTACTGTGTAATATTGCACATGTATACATGATAGAGCAATGTTACAGGTATATTAGTAGTATAGTTGTATCACGAATGGGTCGGCCCGACCGGGGCAGGTCCTTGCTCTCACAGAATACCAGCGTAAAATAGCAGCATAACGCTGCTATGTTTCGAATGGTGAGTATAAGAAACCAGAGAACCCTTTTACTGGAAACGATATCTTCGTCCTCACAGATAACAACACATCTGTATTTTGATTCGTAGTCAAGGATAGATGGTAGATGTCTAAGGGAAACAGCATCCACTCACCATCAGGTGGAATGTATGCTCGTTTGTCGGCCTTATCCTATAAAAAATTGTAATTAATATTATAATAAAAAATGAGCTCACAGTCCACCTGCTAGTTAATGGCTTTCGGCATATATACGACACTTGGACACCTTCAACAAACTTCAAATAAAGAGATTCAACTAGAAAAGTTGTCACTATGAATTTAATGTAACAAGAAAAATTTAAGCAAGACAATATCACTAAAATATGTATAATACATCTTACCTCATTTGATACTACATTTCATTAATTTTCCTATTCTTTTTAGAAATTTTAAATGCAATGATGCGATACCGGATATAACATATTGGTTTGTAATTTCTAGGTTTATGAATCACAATGGAAGTTTAAAATTCCTACCCATTCGTTGGTGATGAATTTGTTAGTGGTAGGTTTCATAAGAGAGCCAGATGTTGAGTTTGTCCCGAAAATTTTATTATTAAAAAACTCGTTAGTCGGTTTCACAAGTGAAACTGTCGTAAGAATAAAGAACAACGAGAATGAAAGTCTCGGTTTCGAATTCAAAGGGAACTCATTATGTGACGAATCTGGTGAGACGCCAGTGGTGATTTATCCGGAGCGCGGAATTTTAAAACCACATTTTGAGACCCCTATCAAGTAAGTAAATTTAAAGTTGTAGGATTAGCATAAGAAGAACGTGAAAAAAGTATTGATAGAGTCAGAATAGATCTAATTATTCTGCTATTACTTTTACCTCTAATAACTGCAACGAAAATAACAAAACAAACTACTAAGGTCGTATTGTAGGGAAGTTTAATACATCGATTACTTATATTTCAGCCTGTCAAACGTGGGGATTAATGAAAAATCCACCTAGTTTCTGAAAGGTTTTCTCCAACACTTTAGTCCCGTTATTATTCGACTAAGGGTCAGCGGAAAATGATGCCGAAATTAATATCTCCAAATTAGTAATAACTGAAATAAACAACCCAGCAAGTAAAGCGCAAATTGGTATTTTATCCTATCCTCTCACGTGATAAAATGATATTCAAACAAATAGACCGCACCGCCACACCAGGGGAATTGCAGGTGCATTGTCGGCCTTTTAGAAAGGAATAAGCTGTTTTCTTGAAGATCCCTAGGTCGTATCGGTCCGGAAAAATTCCCGCTGGTAAACAATCCCACAGAGAAGTTGTACGAAGATAAAAATCTCCTAGTAAAACGCACAGTGGTGGATCGCCAAGCATCCAGATAGTGAGTATGGTATCGCGAATTTTGACGCGATGTCCGTTCGTGAAATTTGGCGGCTAGAACTAATCCGAACAATTCCTCAGAACACTCCCCATGGTAGAAGCTAAAGAAAACGCAAAAGGATGCAACATCCCTACGCAGCGCCATTGAATCGAGCCGATCAGTAAAAACTCGGTCGTTGACGATTCAAACCGCTCTGGGCTTTACACGGTCAAGTGGAAGGAGCTGTGCACTGAGGTGCTCCGGCCCAGAGATGAGAACAGTATTCCATGTGAGACCGAACTTGCGCTTTGTGCCAGCATGAAATACTGTCTCGCTCTGCTGAGCACGCCAATTATTGTATTCTGCAATATTTCATTTTCTATATGTAGCAGAGACATATTTGAATAACCATATCGGATTATAGTTGTCCTTAGCTAGGTTTTTAACTTCAGCATCGCAGATAAATTCCTTTAGTAGCTTTAACTTTTTAGGAGCAATATTGTTGCTTCGAGCAGTTTGACAGAACTCTTTTTTGATATGAATTATTAAATTTTCACATTTATTTGACAATTTTTAATTTTAGTAGCAATATGTTTTTCGTTAAAACAGCTTCTGAATTCAATGCTGTAGAATCAATTTCCAAAATATCTGTATAATTATTTAATAAATCAACTGCATTTTCTACTGCATTCGCCAAGGACAGATTTTCAAAGCTGCATTTTAGGTTAACACGTTTTCAATCACTTAGTTAAATATATAATTTATTCTCCAGTAGTCCTTTAGTCAAGTGTTGGTCAGGAAATCCAATGTGTCGCTTTTGCTAACGGTTGTTACTGTATAAAAATTTCTTTGTTGTTGACGACTCCTTTTTGATACTCTGACTTGGGACAGGCTTAAATTAATGTCTAGATTCGTCAAACGTTTGAATGGCTCACGTAAACGTTCGTATGGTACAAGTCGTACCATTTTTGACACTAACTTCTAAGTAGTAGAGACACATTCGCGGGTGTTATGGTACAGCGGTGGTCGGTGTTCAGCTTCAATCGTAAATCGTTACCGTAAATCTAGCATACCTACTTACAAACTGTAACAGAGAAGAGAAAAGGGAGAAGATTTTGATGATATAAATTTGGGATTAATTAATTATTACATACGAGGGTTGGTATTGAATCTTAAGTTAAAATGCAATATAACGGTAAATTATCCTGCACCACTATCAAGAAAGTGTCTATACGAGTATATAATATTTGTAATAAACAACGAATGCAGCTCAGCTGGAAATTCATTGTACGGATCAACCCGAATTCAAGCCGCGCCAGCATCAAGTACAGCAAGAGCAAAAATATCGGCTCTGGGCTCATCAAACCATCTGTTTGTGTGGTGAAAATGGGCAATTATTAGATATATGTTATTGTTACGAGCTTGGGGTCCGTGACGATAAAAACTGCCGATTGAATTACCAAAATTGACACTTTAATTACTGAACACCAATTACAATTTAAAGCCCACTAATTAATCACACTGATCACTTTAGTTCGCAATTATATAGCTTCGAAGTATTCGCTTGTATCGCCAATTCAATACTAACTCGGTCGTGTGACTAACGGTCTTATATAGGCCCTCTTCTACTGAAAAATTTAGAATGTTCGAGTACATACCGGTCGCGACTAACTAGGTGTGGAAAGTTCTAGTATGGAATTCTGTAGAAGGATTAGTTCTGCTACTCGATACTAGATGGCGCTAGTGACATGTACCAGGCATTAATTATGGCGCGCAACATTATTATAAATGCAGTTTTTCGGAAGAATTTTTGGCTAACCGATAAAAGAACAGCAAAATAGATCAGCAATCTCAATTATTTCCTGAAGGAATCTGGCTGTTGTCTTGCTTTTCACTTAATTATTTGGGGTTGTTATACCACATTTCAATCAATTGTAAATTGTTGTAATAAAAGAGTTATAAATCCTTTATAAAAAAATTTACACCAGTATTTTTGACTTTATATGTATATTGATATAATCTTTCAGAATTAGTTACACTCCTATACAAGACGGGCCGTTATCTTTCAAGATTTTTTGCGGCGTTAAACATCTCACAAAGTTACTAACGTTATGCGTAAACGCATTGAGCTTATCGATAAAGCCAGTAGTGACCTATTATCTTATTGGTAACGAGCATATCCTAAAGAGCGATGCTGTCACGAATATTCATTTGGATAAGGTATGTAGGTATACACCAATAATATTAATATTTATAATATCACATAATAACGACTACACATGTAGTGTAATAATGGCATTAAACCACCCCATCTCTTCTCGTGGGTACATTAAGTCCTAAGAGTCGACCAAAACAACTACCAACAGGCCTTTTGGCCTTCGACAGATGATGCAATTACTTTACAGTATAAGCCAGGCTTTGGATACCCTGACTGGCGATAGAAACCATCGAGACACATACCAAGATCAAGGCTAAGACCATTCTGTATACCAAGCGTGCCAATAACGGAAGTCCTTCTAGCCATAGGAAAGACGCAATATCTACGTACGAAAAAGAATGACAGTTTACGCGCTGATGAAGATTGTAGCAGATGTCAATGAAAATGTTAATATTCCATACATAATGTGGTTAATTTACACATATTTTTTTCGTAGTTAATTATTCACGATGACTTCTAGAACTCTTCCTTGCTGAAAAAACCAAGCAGTTACGTGGCGCCCTGTTTAGAACATATTAACACAGTGTTGTTTTTCAAAGAGTGGCCAAATTTTAAACTTAAGTTCAAATATATACCGTTATTGCAGTTTTTGAAAGTACGAGTAAATAAGGCTTCTACCTTGATTTAAAATTATCCCAAACTGAATGTGATTTATGGTAAATAACGTTTTTGCCTACCGATCGAACCTTACGAATGTGTGCGTACGCAGTAAAATTTGTTAAAATAATGCATTACAGCGCATTTTGAATTTAAAATATAAAAAGGACAGAATGTTTGAGATTTTTTTAATTAATTTTTCTACACCTTTTGCCTATATTACTTATTCTTAATCTTCTCTGCTAATTTGGCCGGTTATTGAAAAATAACCCTGTACATGATGTGTAGACTGTTACTTTATTTCACTTTAATTTTATTGCTTACTCAAAGGTTACAGAGGACAAAATTAACGTAATTTCTTGTATTACTGCACAATTAATTTTCCTTTAGACAGCATCAACCTACAAAAGAACAATACCATTCACAATAAAGAATGACGGATCGGCGACGATTTTCTTCGACTGGCATTATTCCAGTACACCCGTTAAGAAATATCTAGAAGTGAACGTAGAGCCCAGAATGGGACACGTATCGCCCGGGAACGAGGTGGAATGCATTTTGTATTTTCATCTAATAAAAGTGCCCGTGCGTGCATTTCCCGTCAGCTTGTCTGTAAGTACATAATAATTTTAAATAAACAGTAATATGGCGACGCGCCAACAGTTAGGCATTAGAATTCTGGAGGCCCAAAGTTAACTATTGGATTTTTATGACAAGTAATTCTAAAGTAAAATAGCCAGCCTGGAATCAGAAAGTTAACGATGTTCACTCCCGTGCCCGTGCCCCGAAAAGCACATAAAGTCGCACATAAGTTCGTACGACACCTAATCTCTCACCGATCGTGTCTGATTACTGTCCCATCGAACTATAAGAGTGTGGGAATAGAGAGTGCACCTGTGTAAACACACACACTCGTGCACTATAACCTTGTCCTGTACAGATGGCTAGTATCTGGTTGAGACTGGCTGCCGCGATCGAAAGTCGGTCTGAAAGAAATTATTGTTAATAATTGCCGGCGTAAGAATACTTATTACCATATTTAGGGAATATGGCAAAAGAAATACCAAAAACATGGCATCGCTTCCAACAGATAATACCGCCATACGTAATGTTGCAGATAGAGATAGAGATAGCTTGAGAATAATGATTTCTTATATTTACGCCAACACTATACATTAAAATCTCAGTCCCCCGCCCGTAACCATGGGTGCTGTAAAGTGCTAGATACGTCGGGTATATAAAAAAGTACCCAATAAAATCCCTTAAAACTAGTATTATATAAATAGCTTGAGAATGTTACAATTACTATATTTAAGTTTTTACGAACGGACACAATGTTCTTATAAATACATAGCTACATAACCTATATAATATGTGAAATGGATGGGGTACTAGAAGACGATTACGAAAACTTGAAAGTTAAGGTTAAGGTGTTCAAATCACGTAGGGGTTACCACTGTGCCCGTGAAAAGAAAAGGGGAGGGTATGGCGTTCTGCCCGGGGAGCGGCTAATGCTCCGGGTTATTCCGTTTATCCACCCTAAGAAATCCACCTTAGGGTGGATACTCGGAAACGCGTGTTTGTGGGTGGAAATCTGAATTCACTTTCTGATTGTTGTTCCACCTTTCCACCCCAAGTACAGTTCAACAGAAATTATATTCAATACTTTAATATATTATTGATAAATTTTTAATAACCATAATATACTTAAACACAAATCATGTTACATACATATTGCATTCAAACCAAATTAAACTTCCTTGATTTAAACAATAAAAGTAATTGATTAAAACTACTTTTACGGATTTTATCGCGTTTTATTTATTTTATTTTTAATACCCGACTTTTCGGGTGCTTTCCAGCACGGGAATAGTCCCCCATGACCATGGGTGCTGGAAAATCAATGTGTAGTGTTCGCGTAAATATAAGAAATCAATAAAAGCAATTTATAAATCTGTAATATGTCCAGGAAATAACCAACACTGATTTCATTATTACTAAGGCCTACTCAGGCCTTATATCCTGTATAAATTCGTCTCTTAATAAAAAAAAACATTTTAAAATTTGTTAAGTACCGTACTATTTCCAATACTGTGTTTATATAATTAATAATATATTTATTTAATTAAATATCTACTTCAATGAAATATCATTGGAATTAATTGCAGTAAAACATTTCTTTCATCATAAGATATCTCTAAAATGACGGAAATTATGTCGCATCGTATATGTAATTGAATAATTAAAAGTATATCAGTTTTGACCTTTAAACAAGAAGTACTTATGTATGTATTTTTATAAGTATGTCTACTAAGTAACCTTGGGCCAGTTTCTATCATGTTTTTATAAACAACGGTACACAGCCGAAGGGGAAAATCGGAAGAAAAATAATATACGTATTCCGATTATTCACCCGTGTCTGGGGTGGATAAACACGCGATTCTAAGTATCCACCCTAGGGTGGATTTCTTAGGGTGGCTGAACAGAATAACCCAAAGCTTCGTGTGAAAGTTCACATACTTAAAAGTAACAAGATATTTTATAAAAAAATCCCATCACATTTTTTTACGAGCACAACGAGCACACAGTGTACCTGATGGTAAGTGGCTGCTGCGGCTCATAGACATCTACATCTATCCTCCATCAATGCAGATGCGTTGTCACCCTTGAGGACTGAGATGGAATGCCTCGTTTCCAGTAAAAAGGGTCTCCGGTTCTCTACACTCACCATACGAAATACAGCAGCATTAAGCTACTATTTCACGCTGGTATTCTGTGAGAGCGTGGTCCTTCCCCGGTCGAGCCGACCCATTCGTGCTAGAACTATACTAATATAACTATAACGCACAGCCACCACGTATAAAACATTAACGCATTAACGCGTTCTAGTACAATAATCTTTTTTTTTTCAGATCACAGATGGCCCTAGATATAACATGTATCTTTATGCGGAAATAGAAAAGCCTTCGTATCATTTCTCTTGCAAGGAATATGACTTTGGAATGTGTTTTGTGAACGCTCCTGACTCCACTTATAAAAAAAATATTGCGTTTGAGAACGCTGACACCGTGCCATTGACGTAAGACATTTTAACATAAATAGTACGGAGTGTAGAAGTAAGGAGTATAGACTCTGTACAAAAAAGTGTCCATAGGAAAGCACTAAATTGGTGGCGCCACTGTAGTTAGAGTCTAAATTTTAAAGTACTTTTTATCATTTTTTTATAGCATAATAGACTTTCAACATAATTCTTTTTACAATAATTATTTTATTGCTTCCAAAATTTTTATTTTCAAAATCACTCTCAACGTATTTTACGACGATTTATCATACTCTGTAGCTATTCAAGCGCTGTTGTGGAGAGTTTTTGAACTGTTATTTACTGCTTACAGAAGGACACATTTCCAACTATTCTCCTATGGGAGATTGTCCTCCTTACCTCTATACTCCATGATAAATAGGAAATACGAATAAAATATAGATTATAGACACACACGTAAGTCACACTACACTGTCAGCCAAATTCGGAAAAGAAAAGAGCGACACACCAGCAGTATATACAATACTAACTTACTTATTACGTACTTATTAAATACTTACTTAATTATAATTTTGCATTTAATTCAGACGATATTCGGTGTGGATAGAAAACAGCGTAGTGTAAACGAATGTGAATGTAGAAGGAACGTCATATGTTTATGTTTGTATTAATAAAAGGACAAAACATTTTAAATATTAAAGATATCCCACCAAAATATAAAAGTGACAAGCGTTTTTAGTTTGGTACGAACTTTGCTTTCGGAACATGGGAAGGTTTGGGCAGATGATTTTCATCCCATTCTTTTCCCCTCCCTGGTTTGTTTCCGATTGCGGTTCGGTTACAGACGTAACCTCCACTTCATGTCTCTTCGCAGGTTGGGGCGGTGTGTTGCAAGGTGTTGGTGAGGCTAAAAGAGCCTCTTCAGAGTAGATTTTGTTAAAATGTCGATAGTTATTCATTTTAGTCCCACGATCAGGTAGGGTAATATTCGGTCACCCCCGGTAGAGCCCTGCATGCCGAGAGAAGGGCTAAAATACTACCCGAATCTGGTCTTGGGTAAGCACTACTGGACCCCCCCCCCCCCTAGCCACGCATCCATCGGCACGGTACGCTTAAAACCTTGAATTGGGTTAGGTTAGGAGAAAAGGAGTGGGATAAAAAGAAAAGAAAAAGAAGATCGTCTAAGTGTTTTTGTTCTGTCTGTTACCTATTGAACCAGACCAAATAACAGGCGGCAACTGGGGATCAACACGACCTGCCTTCTTCCCCAGAGCCATTCGCTAAACTGCTCGCCGGACATGAGAGCACAATAGGTGTTAATCTAGTCCTACCGATAATGTAAAAATGTAAGAATTCGGAGTAAATTAACCTCCGCCCTATTTTATGAATAGGTCTTTATCTATGAAATTATCTTTTATGAAATAAGTAAAATTAAATTAATTAATAATTAAAATAATGGCGTATTTTTTCTATATTATTTTATTTCTATTCATTAAAATAATCACCCGTACAATCAATGCATCTTTGCCAAAACAGTGACAATTTATTGAAGAACTTTCTGAAGAAATCAGCTGGACGGGAGGCAACAAATTCTTCAAAGGCAATTTGTTCAGCTTCTCGGGTATTGAATTTTTTCCCGTCAAAAAGTTATTTAAATTCTGGAAAAAGTAGAAGTCTGTAGGCGCAAGGTATTGTGAGTACGGCGGACGACGGAGGGCTTCCAACTGCAGCTCCAAGGTCGCGCGTTGTCATGCAGGAACAGCGGGGACGAGCGATTGATCAAAGCTGGTTGGAGACGTGCGAGCTTCTTCACCATTGTGTTAAGTTCTTCGCAATATACTTCAGCAGGTCACTTTTGGTGGTGAATTTTCGTTTACGGAATTGCTTCGGTGCTGAACCAGGATCCAACCAACTTGCTGAGCACTTGCGATTGTCAAATAAAATTCATTTTACGTCACACGTAACAATGCAGTTCAAAATTTCTTCGTCTGTGTGCCTGTTGAACAATGTTTCGACGCGTACTTCGTGCTGACGATCATTAAGTTCGTGGAGCACCCATTTGTCAAGCTCTTTTACCTTTTTTTTAAGGAAGAGGGGGCAAACGAGCATACGGTTCACCGGATGTTAAGTGACTACCGCCGCCCATGAACATTCGCAGCACCAGAGTCATTTGACCAATATGTTTTTGATTCTAACGTCGAAAACTGCACCTAATTCAGCTGTAGATTTATTATCAGATTGATTATCATCAGCTTTTTAAACATATTCATATAATGAGGAAAAATATTAAAATTCGATGAAAACATAACGTAACACACGCTAAAGCGTAAACATACGCTAATCAATAAACAAATGACTAACTTTGAAAAAATAATTCCATGTTTTTAAAATAAAATTAATTTGAATTTAGAATTCTTATCCAAATAAAACTATTTTGATTTGAAATTGCCAGTACTGCAGTATTTCATAGGATTTACCTATTATTAACTTTGGTACTACTCGTATTAGAAATTTAACTAGTGATAAATAATATTAATTATATTTATTATACAATTATTTCAGCCTGGATTTAAACTTCTCGAACTTACCGGAACTTTACGTGGAGTACTACAAGGAATCGTCTGTTCAACCGAACCAGCGCCTAAAAATATCTATTTATTTTCGGCCAAAGGACGTTAAAATGTACGAATTTAAATTACAATTTTGGGTGAATTCACTTTGCGAAGAGACCGTCGTTATAAAAGGAGAAGGTAATTGATATAAATGTTATTAAAAATATCAACAGGGTTACAGGGCGATAAAGATGTTCTCCTAGCCCATTTAGGGATTTCGCCTTCGACGCCAAGAAATTTAGTTATTATATAACTGTATATTATGTGTGTTTAACCTAGAGGTTTGCCAATCCTGACCTACTCTTGCTAGATTTTACGATTAATGCAATGAACCCGAAAGTTGGTTATAATACAATGCCAGACACAGGGACCTGACCAGTATAACATTCCAAAATTCAAAATTTTTTGTTTCGTTCATTGAAGTAATATGTACTTACGTACTAGTACAAACAAAAAATGTGCGCTACTCTGTGTTTGCGCGGTTGGTTTTTTTATCATAGAATAAGCATAGATAGAATGATCCGTAGGTAATAGTAGATTGTATTGATAAATAGGTAAATTATATCGAGAACAATATTTAAATTTTGTCATTTATTTTGTATATTATATTTGCTTATTTAATATAATATTACATAATATTATCAAAATTACATTTTAATGATATTTTTATCTGAATATTTTAAAAGGTATCTATGTCAAATATAAAAAAACATACTAAATGTACGTGTAACAAAACTTATTAACATAACATTTAAATTACAAATATATTTATTTAAATTAGAATAAGAGTCGTTCATTAATGCTGGGCACGCGAGAGGTAAAAATGGACGAATTTATTCCACCTTTTATTGTTTGATGTGGAAACCTAAAAATAAAATAAAATAATAATAAGCAGATTTAAATATGAAAAATTTGGCCTAATTATAATAACTTGTATATGTTTCTACAAAAAAAATGTGTATAATAATATTATATTCGTCCTATACTTAAGTACCCACAGAAATGTCGCATCTGAACATATTAATTTCATAATCTATATTCCATGACACGAGATGGCGTCTAAGGAATAATTTGTTTTATTATTAATCTAAAATACTTTTTTATTGATTAAGTATCTTATTAACCGATGAAAAGTAATTCCTTGGGTTTTACTGACATTTCTTGAATTATTTGTGCAAACACACGACGGCATATTTTTATCAAAAGATTTTTTTTAAATCAACACAACACGTGAAAACTCTACAAGCGCCTAGCGAGTAACTGATTAAAGTGCGGCGTGTGCACCGCAGTTGAGTGGAACACAGTAGCTGAATGCAGTGTGGCCTCTAGTACGTAAGTACATAATAGCTCAATGGTCTCGTTATAAATTTTCACTCCGGCTTAAATTCGAACCGTGACAGCAATCAGCTACACTAATCAGGCCATGTGATCGCCATCAACACTTAGTAAGTTTGCGTTTATATCTTCTACACCTAAAGAGAGACCAGATTACAGATGTTTACAATTTTTGATCGATTTAGTATTTTCGCGCATTTGGAGATATAAAATATTGTCAAGCGGATATGAGTTGTGTTATTGTTTTGACTGTCGTAAATTTGAATAACCTGCTTTTGATGGGTACGTAATGTTTGATACTTTTAAACTGTTATTATTTTCTGATTCAGGAATTCCTCTACTATTCGATCTATATGATGGGTGTCAAAAAAGCTTCGATTTAGGTCCTGTTAAAGTTGGTGACAAGATAGTGCGACAGATCGAAGTTATGAATCATAGCAAAGCACCCATAGACGCTAGTTTTATTTTTAGAGACACATATCCTGCAGTAGACGACACCAATGGCTCTGAAGCAACAAGCATATGTTTGAGCCCCGGCGTGAATACTAAAGAAAGCGAACCTGGAAAAGCAAGGTTAGAATCCTGCCAATTTATGTATGCCACATACGATAGGGATGGTAGACATGATATAGAACGAAGAGTGAATGAATGCAGGACTCAGAGTAAATAGGGTTCTTTACTCTATTGTAGTCAGAATATGTCAAAAAGGAACGTAATGCAATTTCAAAATTGCAATACGTTAAGTACCTTAATACTAGTGAAAGTAGAGTTTGGCAGAAAAAGCATGAAAGTAGAATCAATTCTGTAAAAATGTTAAATCTATGTTAAAGCTGACTGTGATTAGAAAAAAGTGTTGTTTGCAAGATGTTGTGACTCTGATTTAAAAAACAAAATCTCAGTGGTTTGGACACGCAGAAAGAAAGAATTAGGGTTTTCGCTTACCTGCCTTTTTTAATACCCAGGTGTCGGATATTATTATTTCATATACCTGGGATTTTCCGGGTACCCAGGTATTTACTAGCTTTGCAGAAAAGAAGACAATTTTCTTATAATCATGTTTTCTTCTGAAATAGTTTTCTTTTTGTATATGACATATATCACAGCTAAGTACAGAGCATCATCTTTGTTGGGCTTTCTCTGCCAAACTTTTGTATAACCGCTGCGCCATCCGTAGTACGAGCCACAATGTGACGTTCAAGTTTCAAACCGAGTTTGTCGAGATGTTCAAGAACCATATCTCTCACCTAAACTACTTTTTTGGGCTTGTCCATTCATCAAGAGTTAGACTGAATCTACGATCAGAGTTTATTATCTTTTGTAACTTGTTAACCATACTCGATTCTTGTTGTTCATAATACTCTAGGACTAGTTCCATCGTACTGCCTTCGTTTTTTGGTAAAGTTAGCTGTTTATGATGAAAAGCTTCTCGGATGAATTTCCCACGACTGACGGCCCGAATGGAAATACCGTCTTGTTGGCAACGCGCCTATAAAAATATTTCAGTTTATTAAATCAACCGATGACGTTGCTATGAAAAAAGGGGCAGTCAAGAGCAACGACGCTCTGATAAGAGAATGCTTAGTTAAATCTTTAAGAAATGTCGAATTAATGATATGAAGGTCTTGGGTTCGACTCCCAGGCCGGACTAGTTTGTTTGTTTTCCTAAGTAATATCGCTTAATAAATTCGTAAGGAATTTAAGATATAAATTATGTTACCGGATTTGTTCCCCGGTTGAAATCATCTTTCAAATGATGTAAATTCATAAGAATATTAAAGTGAAGTTAAAGATCGGATTTGTTCCCCGGTCGAGATAATCACTCTGTGCATAGGCAGAATTAATGGATATTAATTGCATAAATGTTGTTTTGTATAAGTTTGATACGTTTTGTACGAAAACAAATGCCTATTTGTTATGATTGATTAATGAGAACATTCATTTATATTGTTATCTGATTAAAGATAGTTTCATACAGTTCGAGAATTGTATAAAAGCATTTAATTTGCCTAATATGGTCAAAATTAGTGTATATCAGACTTTCATTTTTTCTGATAGCCGAGAGCCGTGCAAAAGTTAGTTGTTCAAATAGTGTGAGTTCATAGACGCACGCTAGCCACGCCCTTAGGAGGCCGAATATGTAAAAATTTAAAATGTTTGTAATTCAGTGATTTATGTAAAAATTACTTGTAAAATATTTCAGGTTAATTGTACGCGCTAAAAAAGGTAAATTCTGTGTTATTTTCATGTGAAAATTCCTGTGTATAAGTGAAATAATGATAGTTTTGTATAAGAAATTTAAAAGTGTTTTAAATAGTGAAATAAATAGAAAAAATGTAAATTAAACTATTGTATTGGTTAGCTTATGTATAAATTCAAGTGAGAAACATTGTTTGAACTTTCTGTGTTAAATATTTAAGAAATTTCGATTTCGAACTTGTGAGTAAAATAGGCAGTTTTCGTTTAATAAATAAAAGGTTTTTTATGATATGAAGATATGATGTATATCATGGTGTAGATATTGTTTTGTACTACCTATATTGATAAATTGTATTTGTATATGATTTGAATAAATAAAGATATTGAGTAAAACGTGAGAGAGTAATAGAACAAATTCATGTAATTGAGTTGCGCAAGCGCGCGAATGGCGCGGCTCACTTTCGCGTATAGCTCTGGGGTAGCTTAGTGAACGGGTTTTATTGCAATTCGTTCGGGAATCCTTCGGGAAAGTACGAAAATCCTTCGGGAAAAGTGCAAAACCAGCAGTCAAGAAAGAAAAAGTATAGGGAAAAGTGATTACTCTCTCACGGAACGGTTTGAAGATAATTGCTGTTTCATTCCCAAGATCCTTTAAGTTATACAGTCCACATCGAAGAATTAAGGCGTCGGGACCGGGACGACTTCGGAAGACCCGTAATCCCCGTCTGAACCTACTTGCTGAAAAGGAAGAGGTTATCGCCCTAGTGTGTTACTCCGTTGCGGAGATCACATACGTTGTTCCCGAACCCAACGTAGGCGTGATAGGAGGCCGGATCGAGAGAAGCCTCGATTCCTGTTTCTTAGTACCCGATCCGCTAGGTCCTTTTCAATTGGTCCTTTTCAGGATCAAGAGGGACGCCCGACCTGAGTTCCTTTTCAATTGGTCCTTCGCGGCCGGATTGAGAGGACTCGCGAACCTGAGTTCCTTTTCAATTGGACCTTCGGAGCCGGATTGAAGACCACCCGAACCCCGCCAGCTGGATCAAGGAACCAGCTGTGGACTGCTGGTTGTGGAAGAAGAAGACCTTCGGAAGCCGAGTGAAGATCAGCAACCGAAGGAAGCCAGAGGTTTGAGCTGAAGCAATAGGACCAAAGGCCTGAAGACCAGGACGGCAGCACTGAAGGGCTGGACCTGGAACTACCGGAAGAAAGAAAACCGGGATTGCAGCTTGGGGCGTGTGCTCGCATGGGGCACATATCGCAGCCGGGCGCAGGTGTCTTGTGAAGGCACTCATCGTGGCCAAGCAGGGCTTGGCATTTTTCCTGTCGGGCAAGCGTGCTCGGCATTTCCTGTCAGACGATCGTGTCTGGCATTTCCTGTCGGACGACCGTGTCCGGCATTTCCCGTCGGGTCATCAGGGTGCAAAAAGCATCCACCGCTGCTGCTGCCGGGCGAGGGTGCGCGTGGGCACCTGACTGCATCGCGGCCGGAGGAGGGCGCTTGGACGAGGCGTCACCGGCAACTGGGCGGCGAGCACAGCATACATCCCGACCACCTAACGGTGCCAAACGGTTGGGCTCTGGCATAACACCTTCGGGTGGAGCAGTTCTCTCGAGCGAGACTGCGCTTGCACTACCGCTCGACTGTTTCGTCATATTCCTTGGCGGGACAGTTCCTAAACCTTTCCTCCATTCCATTCCTGCACGACTCCATCCCTGAACGGCTCACCTCGGTAGGCCCCGTTCAGGATTGATAGGGCTGATAGGGCTGTTAGGGTGGTAGTAGGGTTGTAGGGTTGGGAGATAAAGGGGGGGAGGGGGTAGTGGTGTTAGGTTGGGGGTGTAGAAGGGGTTGTAGGTAAGGGACAGTTAGGGACCGTAGGCCAACAATCACCTTCCTGCAAGATGAAGAAGGCACAAGACCAGACAGGGAGAAGCGAAGGGAGCAGGACAAGGACAGGGCTCTCAAGAAAAGCTAAAGAAGCGGAATCATCTGGAGCGACCACAGCTACTGCGTCAAATGGAGCAACTCCTCCAAGTGGAGCCACCACAGACACGTCCACATGCACGTGGGACTCAGGGACGTCCATGGCAACGACGAGCAACAGGACGGACACCAGTGGTACACAGGCCAGCACCGCACAACAATCCGTTATATCCAGGAGTGAAACGGTGGTCGAAAAAGTAGGTCAAAGGACCGAAGAAGCGGCATCGTCAAGGACAGTAATCGGGCACACTAGTGATAAAGGGTCACAGAGAGGTAGTAGGTCATCGCGATCGGCGAGGCTGAAAGCCGAATTAGAGGCGCGGATTAAATTCGAACGCTCAGAGCTCGAACGAGCACAGGCAGCTGCTGCCTTAGCCAAGTCTCAATTGGAGTTGGCACGACTCAACCGAGAAGAGGAAATCGACTCGAGTGAGGATGATGAAGAGCGGAATACTCAGGTGGAACCTTTCGTAAGGAGTTGGGTTCAGCAAACCATAATGAGCGCGCCGGTTAGTGTAGCACAACCCGATATTACTGATAAGGAAGCGTGTAAAGGATCACGCCGCAAAGGGGCGGAGGTCGAGCGCAACCTAGGAAATGCACAGAAAACACACGCGAGTGAGGTGTCAGAATTGACCGAAGCGATTGTGAGTGCAATAAAAATAGCTGGTAAAGATAAATCTTCCCAGCTTCATTTCCTCCAGGAATTACCGGTGTTCGATGGAGACCCGGGTGAATGGATAATTTTCAAAACGGTGTTTGAAGACACAAAAGGCCAATTTTCAGGGGTGCAAAATGTCGCACGCCTTAGGAGGGCATTAAAGGGCACCGCTAAAGAGGCGGTTAAGTCGCTGTTATTTACTTTATGTGAACCTGAAGAAATAATGAACGCTCTCGAAAGAAGATTCGGTAGGGTTGAGATGCTCATTCTAGCCGAAATCGAGAATGTAAAGCGTATGCCAAGATTGGCAGAAGATTGCCGAAATATAGGATCTTTTGCAAGTCGTATTACGAACGTGGTTGCCACAATACGAGCGTTGAATCAACCACAGTATTTATACTCACCGGAGTTAGTGAGCCGCATAGTGGAGAAACTTGGAACTATGATTAAATTTAAATGGTTTGAATATCGAGCTCAATATCCTTTGGAGCCAGAGTTACAGAAGATGGCCAAGTTTTTAAATTTATTGAGTGAACAATTTGGAACGTCCTTAAGCAATGAAAATGCGCCTGAAAAAAGGAAGCGTCCTGAATTCAGGAAGCAAACTGTACACACTGCAAAGGGAGGTGTACGCAGCTGTGCCGAGAGCGAGCGCTATATGCGCCGAAGTAATATGAGCGAGCGTTTAGAACGCCGAAATAATAAAAGGCACAACCGACAAGTGGTTAT